ACACATTTAGCAGACGCTTTTATCCAAAGCGACTCACAAAAGCAGGAAGCACCATGGGGTATACGTGCTTCCTTTGGGAATCGAACCCAAGACTCACTGCTCTTTGCTTAGCAGCTGTGCTAACCACTACACCAAATGGCAGCACACACTGTACAAGCCGTGTAAGTTTGTTTGTTTTAACATATTTATATGTATTTTCCGCTTTGGGTTCCTATGGAAACCTGGTGAGACACAAAAAGTAGGCTGTCAATCAAACAAAAAGTTTATCTGAACAAGTCTCCAGTCGATTATGTCAGTCGACCAATCAGCTGTAGACTAACAAACAAAGTTAAAAAGGAACCGCAGGCTGAAGAAATGTCAAAGATCTGGAGATAGAGATGTGTGTTTGAGACATTTTTCTGTGTCTGATGAAGCTGTTGTTTATCTTGTTTATGAAGACAGTGATACGTCTGTAAATGTCCTCCAGATTTGAATGAACTGATTATCAGACACAGCAGTGGATACAGACACTGTCAGAGCCTCAAAACTCCCGTGAAAGAACCATGGTCATGTGGTGAGTATTTGGGAGATTTTCAAATGGGAAAAGAGAAACCACGTTTATCAACACGGTCAGGACGGTTGAGGAAAAAAGAAATTCAGACGCTGAGTTGTTCAAGGTCACAGTGAAACGTCGGTGAAATCAATGTTTATTGTGTCCTTGTGAGCGCGGCAGTCACCGAGGTAATGATCAGAATCTGTTAATAGTTTCACAGAGAAAATGCAACATGAACTAAAAAACTGTGAATGACGGTTCAGGCTAGAGCTGCTCGAGACGTTTAAGGGAAACCGGACACTTTTGAAATGAAAACGTCTGTCCTGGTACTTTTTGATTCAACAGGACACAAAGAGTCACGTTCGCCTCTCATGGAATGTTATGTTGTTGTTGTTTTTTCTATGAAAGTTTATATGTCCATAAATATCATAGCATTTATGACCTCCATAAAGCTGTGAGACTTCGAGAGCGCTCTAAAGAACATATTGCCATGACAGCAGGTTGCATACAGTGGATGATGTGTCGCATTCCCTGTGGTTTGGTTATGAATAAGTTGGAAAAGCTTAATTACCTTAAGTGTAGGTGAGATATGAATGTAAAAGATGAGCCTGTCACTGCTGCTCTCATGCAATAATGGCTTTTTCTAAAGGTGACAAAAAAGAAAAGTGAGATATGGTTCAGATATTAAATGACCTAGCAGTGAGGGAAGCTCCTTATCTGTGTCACATTAAATTTATAACGCATTCTTGCTTCTTCTAAGTAAAACGAAAAAATGAAAAATCACCGACAAAGAGCATTTGCATTTGCCTTCGCACTCTTTCACCATATCTGGCACTTTGTTTTTGAGGCTTAATCCATCTCTCTACAATCTAAAGTGTAATCCTCGTGGCCCACGTCGTCCTCGGCTCCACGGTATAGGGTCCTGTCCTCTAATTAATCTGGCTTGTCCTTCTGCTAAACACTGGATCAGTTCGCAGGACTGCTGCATTATTCAACATCGCCGTGGGTGAGAGGGAGGAAGTCTGTGGTCTGGAGTCACCTTAGCCTGAGCCGAGCAGCAGAGTGAAAGAGATAGAGAAGAATGAGGGGGAGACATGAAAGTAATGGAGGCAAATGTGAGGGCGGGGTGGGAGACAGAAGAAGGTGAGTGAGACAAATGGTGGAAAAAAAGAGAGGGAAAAAGAGCGGAGGTGAGGGAGAGAGAAAGAAAGGGGGAGAGATCAAATGGCTGGTGTGGTTCGAGTCAAAGGGGAGGACGGCTCCCGGATCACATCCGGAGGAGAAACCACAGAAGGGTCGGAAGTTGTCATCCAGCTGCTGACACGACAAGTCCTAAAACCACAGAATGTTTTAAGGATAAATACAGCTGTTGAGATGAATGAGAAAACCACGCATTGATCAGAAGAATTAACTCCGATTCAAAGTTTGGTGCATTCACACATACCACGCATTGATCAGAAGAATTAACTCATAAAAATGAATCCGATTCAATGTTTGGTGCATTCACACACACGGGAATAATATGTGCTGCATATCTAACAAATCATCTCATTACTGTGTTAATATTGATGTATAAGATGGTATTTGTGGGGAAACCCTCCGATTGGTCAAAACAGCTGGAGCTTAAAATACCATCGGTCACTGAACGAGCAGTTGTGGAGACTAGAACTTCGAGTGCAGTAATACTCTTAGACTGATCATATATACTAATATACATTTTTCTCGAATCCTCTTTCATGTTAATAATTCCATCATTTGGATTAGTCGCAAATAAAACAGGTTAAAAAAACAAACATCTACCTGCTGTTATTTGTTTTCTGTTCCAGCAATATACAGAAAAATCTTGTCAAACTACGGAAAGTTGATTAATTGTGATTATGAATGATAACAATTGCCCTCATCATTTAATTACATTTCAATTAATCATGAGTAATTACAGTTAATTATAGTGAATCCTGTCATCCTATGATGAATGACATTAAAAATTTCAATTAATCATTTTACAGCACACACAGAAACACACTTCCTTTTCCTCTGCTTGTTCTTTTATTGTTTACTCTAATTAATTGTTTACTTTTTTTCCCAGAATAAATCCCAGAAAACGTCCGTTATCTCTGTCTATCTTTTTAATGTACACCTTAACCCCACAAATACAATGGTCAAAAACACAGTAGTCATGTACCATTGGTTCATACAGAAACACACGAGTAAACTGGATGGCGCTCTCCGGGCTGAGGTCAGCACTGGGAGAGCGGTCACGATAAAACGCCTCGAAGTGAACGGTAACTGTACAAATGCACTGGCACAGTCGTCGTAGGCAGCTGGACAACACAAGGCCTGAAATAAATGACGCTGCTCGGGCCATTTTAAACCAATGAAATGAAATAGAGAACAGACAGCGGCTTCACACATGCGTTCACAAACCATTTGTAACAATCGGTGAAAAGTCAGTTCAGACTCAACGCGTGAGAAGTTCCAGCGTCGGCCTCACAAAAATGGTCATTTACAGCACATTCAGCTTTGTGGTTATGTAGTGGTTACTCACTGTATGTCTTTACTCTGGCAAACATATAGAATAATATTCATATAATATTCACATAACATAATATACATCTGTATGTACACGGTCCTGTTCCCCTCCCCGTCAGTGTCCAGGCACTTCCTCCGTCAGAACTCTGACCGTACCGTAACGAACACCGTCTTTTCTTCTCCTTCATCATAAAACAAGTTGCCACATCATAAGGGCTGTAGAAGCCCGGTGATTGGTGGATATACTACAGTATTAATTACCTCACACACAGTACAGTCAGAGGGAAACCCTCCGTGACCCTGCTGATGTGCCAGATTTTTGTGATGTGAAAACTTTGCAGACATTTATTCATTTTCAGAACTATTTTCCAAATGACACAGAACCTAAAACAGGAAATAAAGCCTCAGCTCATATTTCCATGTTACAAACCCAGACTGCTTCAATACCAAAGTGTGGTAATCTGGTGCTGGTCCTCATGGTTGACGAAGAGTTTGTGTAGCGTGCAGGCAGAATGGATTAGCACAGTTTTTGATGGGAAATAAATATCAAATATATATATAAAAAGTAAAGCCATATAACTCCCTGTAAAGGAGCACTCAGTTTATTACTGTTTATCAATTCTGCTTATCACTATATAATGTTTATCTTTATATGTACATATATACTGTATATATGTATACATATATATACACATATGTGTGCATATATATATAAACATATATACTTACCAATATGTATATATGTATAAATGTATATATAAATACATGTTTATATGTATCTACATACATACATACATGACTCTTCACATTTCTTTTGTACCAAAATATAACAAATCATGCTTTTATGTTTCATTCCAAAAACATCTTAATTATATATGAAAATATTGATATATTTATACAGTATATATATTTCTAGGTATAAAAATATATATATTGTATAAATTGTATGTAAGTGTATCTATATTTATATATATATTTATACACATACAAACATATTTTCAGTAGTCTTACATATATCTACCTATATATATATAAATGTGTATATATATATATATATATATATATACACACATATTATTTTTTAAATGTAATCATTAGTCTACTTCTATAGAAATACATTTTTCTGCACATCTTTTCTTCAGGTTAATTGATCTCAAAACTAACAAATTTGAAATATTGGGTCACATCACAAAAACCTGGCTTTAATCAAGTGTGTGACAACGTCTTATCCTTTATTTTCTGCCACTCCGTCTGATATCAGTCAGAAAGCTGTGAAGCAGCAGCCCATTTTTCCCAGCTGTCATTTCTCTGCCTGTTTTTTTTCTCTTTCTGTTTATGAGGGCAGGCCACAGAGTGACACCTTCACCATTTTCTCTGAGGGGCCGGCACTTTCCGCAGTTTGAGGAGATAATGTTAGGGCATGAGACGTTTGAGAGGGGAGTAATGACGTGAGGAAGAGACTTTTTCTTACTTCTAGAAAAAAATTTGTGTGTGTGTGTTTTTCATTGGATTTAGCCACTTTAGCAACTGCAGTCGTCTCCGGGCTTCGGCCCACAGATGGATGGGAGACTGATCTCATAACCTAATAATCAATGATAACCTGTGGGCAGCAGTTGTTCTTTGAAGGTAAAAAACACAGCTAGTGTGACACAAACTGGGTGTTTTCTGCTCCACAAACAAGGTCAACACCCAGAGGCTGAGATTCAGTCTGGACCAGTTGTCATCGACAGTTTACACTGTAACCAAATTATGACAGGCAACAGCGAAGAGTCTGGGACTCAAACCTGCAGCTCAGAGCTGCAGAGACAGAGAGTTAATAAAGATGAAACATCATTTTAGGACAGCAGCACAATGACAGTCTAACAGTACAGTGGTCCCTGCTCTCTCTCTCTCTTTCTCCCTCGCCCTCTTTCTTTTCTTTTCTTTCTTTGTATCAAACACAAACACATTAGAAAATAAGCTGACGAAGTAAATACTGTATGTTTGTGGGCAAATACGGTGAGATAGAGGAGGAGAAACAAAGTAAGAACGGGCTTCAAGTCACTCAGTGATATTGGCACTGTGACAGAATCAGACAGGAGTCTCCTGTGGGGGCGGGGGCCCCACCAGGTCCAGCACTGTGGGCCCTGGTAGAGTCCACTGATAGCACACGTGGTTTTTCCAGCACAAACATCATGGTAAAATATAACAACACATTTCACAACTGTACAGTGACTGCATCAATACTGTTAAGCACTGGCCTGGTCTGTGGTAAAGCAGTGGTTCTTTTCAAAATAAAACATAACGTAATTCTTTTAATTTTTTTTTTATCGTGTTTCTGCACCAGAGTAGAGACTTTGTTAGATTTGTGAAGGTAATTTGAAAAAAAAAACCCCGTCCTATCTTCAGCCGATAAGGCAGTTTATGGTACGGTAGGTAAGTCACGCCACAACCACGGCAGACCACTGCTGCACGTTGCTCTGAAAAAGACCAGAAAAAAAGCTTCTGTGTTTTAGCTGCTGTCACGGTGCTAATAGATCCAGCCGAAGTCGGCGGCGTTCAAATGTAACCATGAAACGAAGCCAAGGTGACTCCTGTCAGAGTTTCCTTTTTGTTTCGCTCAGAATACTGTTTTGCCTCTACCACATCCGTCGGCGCAGACGGAGCTTCGGTCCGACAGGTAAAGAGGACTGAGAGGAGCAAAAAGATATCAAAGTAGATAAACATCACCATCAAGGAGGAAAACACAGCTGCACATTAGAGGTTAAAAGTTTAAAGCGCCACCATTTTTCACTCCTTCCTCCGCAGTTCCCTCAATGCCAACAGCACAGGTCTGAACAATAAAGTGGAAATGGTCACTGGGCGGCTTTAATGTGAAATTTCACTGCCGCTGCCATGAACATTTAGTTGCTATCTCTCTTCAAAGCATTCCAAGTACTCCAGGACAAGGTCATAGCAGAACCGATACTGATCCTGAGGGAGGAGGGAAAAAAAAAAATCAATATTCTTCAATTAACGAGGGAAAACATGAGGATTTTCACAGAAACATTCTTACCACATCAAACTCATCGATTTATTCATGTAGACACTGTCTTACCAGAGATTCCACCATGTTGGGTTTGCAGTTGCGCAGAGTTTTGACAGCGTAGAAGATGTCCACCATGTTCTGGTACTGGATCATCTCCAGGAGGATGTTACAGGCACAGAAGGTCCCACTGCGACCGCCGCCGTTACTGCAGGGAAAACAAGTGAAGCCAACAAGTGCACATTTATATTCGTCCAATGATCGCTCATCAGTTCATATAGTTTTTGAATGAATATATAGATATATATATAACATTTAAATATATATTTTTAAAAACCTCAGTAAAATGTTAAACAACATTAAAAGTCTGGTTCTGACTTTTCAATTGTGAATGAATATTTAACCATCGTCAGCATAACTTAGAACAGTGGTTCTCAATCTTTTTCTGTCATCCTCCCCTTGGGGACAGAAATGTTTTCCCGCCGTCCCCCCACTCACACCCCCACGTTACGAAATACTATTGAGAACCTGATAACGTATATTTTTATCTGTACAAACCACTGTATGAGTTGCTGCCACCTTGTGACTGGAGGCATTACAGCAGTGTTACACGTATGTTCAGTGCCATATTCCATTGGAAGCCCCTCACGGCCCCCCTGGCACTTCGTCGTGCCCTCCCAGGGGGGCCCTCCCCACTATTTAAGAAGATGAACATCAAAATGTTCTGGGTCTTTGTCTCATAAAATCTGGATTGATTTAAATTTAACAGCAGTGAAAACTGGGAACGATCCACTCCACACTGTTCACTGGAGACCTTGACTGTGGCTGTGATTTCATGCAGATCCACTTTTCCATGGTTGAAACCCTATAATGTTGCCCGATCAGCACGGCGTGTGTACAGTATACACAGATATATCTCCTTGTCCGATGGGGAAGGGCCTCGTAATTTGTACAAATGGATCCTTGAAAGCAACAATAAAGCCTGAGCAGGGCAGAGCACGTGTAATCTGATAACCCTGGTTTCGTACATAAAATCCCGAAGAGGAAACGGAGACATGAGAAGAGTTTTAAGGAAAAAGGAAATTGAGAATAAACCAGCTCAGTGACATTTCCTGAGAAATATTGTGGCGGTCATCGTAAATGAAAGGCAATATCAATAAACCAGAGAAGGACAAGTCAGGTCCTCCCTCCTGAGAGAAACACAGCAAAGGTGGGCAACGGAGCCTATGCTCGAGTGATATTAGGGTAATCAATCGTGGTCGGTGCCACGGCGGTCCTGGATTTACTGTAGTGAGAGCTGTGGTATTCTGTATTACGCCATAATTGATTTGATCTCCATAATCTCTTTCCTGGTTGTCGTGGGTAACACTGTGTGACAGCGCTGACTGATGTGCCAGTGGACGGAGGCACTGGGAAGGAACGTGCCGAGGTTTGACTATGAGCCCGCACGCTTCATTCATATTCATCAGTGGGCGTGTGCACTCCAGGGCCTCCGGTGGACACACAGGAGAACGCACTGCACTGCAGCCAGCACATCACATCACATCACATGACATGATTTTACACATCACAAGGTAGCGTGGATGGAAAAACATCAGACAAATATTCATTATGTCTGTTTGTATATTCAGGGAAAAACTCTTTCGAATGAGGAATCCGACAGATTGTCAGTGTGTTACAGTCTCCTCGTGTGTTACTGTTATAGTTACAAGTACAACGCAACATGAGAAAACTCAGTCGTTGTTAAAGAGCTTCGTTTCATTTCTGGTTGCTGTTCAAACCTCAGCCACAGATGAATATAGGTGAACAACCATCAGAAGATCAGAACATGAAACCATATCGGTGTTGGAACCATTGTTTTAAAAGTCTCCAGTCCACAGTCGGAAACTGTCATGTCGTTAACTCACGTTTGTTTGGAGGAGAAAATGACAGCAGAACATGGGAGAAATCACATCAAATCACAATCAAATTTTACAAATGGACGGTGGAATTCCTAAGTGCTCTGGTCGGCTGTGTGTGGTCAGATACCAGGGCTTTGTCGGCCAATCAGTGATCTGAGTGGGTTTATTAGATCAATGCAGCAGAAAGAAGTGAAGGAGCTGGAAATGTGGGGGTTGGAAAAGCCCTTTACCATCATCATGGCTGCAGTGGAAGAAGTCAGGAGGGCGGGGGGGGGGTTAATAGTCCTGTAAATGCTGCTGCAGAGATTTAATGACACCCTGAATAGTGCCAGACCAGGGAAACAAAGCGAGTACCACACCTCACTCGTACAATGGAAGTACTGCCAGCAGAGTACTCACAGGCAGTGGACAACAGTACGCCCTTCCCCACACTCTCGTTGCCACTTGTGCACTTGAGCCAGCAGGTTGAGGAAAGCCTTCTTGGAGTCGGGAACATCTCGGTACGCCGACCAGCGCAGGAACTGGAACTGACACACCATCAGCTGGCCCTCCTGCAGCTTCAGAGGCAGAAGAACACATAAAAAGGCAGGATTAATATGGTCAGAGTGTTACTGTGTTACTGTGTGTGCCGGCTAATGTCTGCACTGGAGCACTCCCCGGGCAGAATGCTGCCGCTCTCTGCTGTGCTCACTCAGCACACCGACTCTGAGATATATGGCTTTGTAAGAGCAAGTGGAGCCCCAGCAGTGTGTGAGAGAGGTCCCTGTGTGTTCATAACCTCATCCTGTAGATCCTAACCCCACACCCGAGGACCCGCACCAAACTATAACTCATGCAAATTGGAAAGACGAGTGCCAACAAATAAATGGCCTCTCAGTGGAGGTGGGATTTACTTTATGTACTTTTTCTGGGCTACTTTCTCAGCTACTTACACACAATCCTACAACGCACCTCCTCTGACTTTTACTCCCAGCCCTTGAATATCATTAACAGTAGAGAAAAGCCGGCTAATGCGTCAGGGAGGGGAGCACACTGTCAGAGAGGCTGTGCTCAGAGTCGCCCCCTCTGTCACTGTGCTGCACGGCGTAGTGTGGTGAAAAACAGAACAAAAGACAAGGACATCTGAGGGGAGGAGAGGACGCCAATCAAGGTGGAAACTTCTGGTCACTAACTGTCACACTGAGTAAAACAGTGGCCTGGACGGCATGCAGAGTCCTTCAATAATTGGTCGACAGTGATCCTGAGTGGAATACATGCATGTGCTTATGCAAATTGTCAGGGATACAACCACACCTGCACGCGCGCACACACACTCTCTACGTCAACATCATGTGTGACAAAGGGGGTCAAAGTGACCATTTCATACATATACATGTACTTCAAGGACAGTAAGTTAGTATAAAAATATACATCTGTACTGTGAATTTACAGAAATCAAATATTTTTAAAATATATATATAGACAAATATATACATATATGAACAAATATATAGATATATTTATATACATAGATATATACAAGAAGAATAAGAATATATACAATATATATATATGACATATCCTACAAATGTAAAGACAGTTCTTCTGTCAAAACTGTGAAGCATGACTAATAATTGCTCGTAGACCTCAGATGTACTCTGAGTATTGTACATGTACTTGTAGTGTGTACTGCAGTGTGTCCCCTCAGGTGTGTACCGCAGATGAATTCCAAATGTTTGAAGCAAGCACCACTTTTATCGGCGAAAAATACAAAACACAAATCTGTTCTTTGGTCAGGATTGAGTTTTAAAAAGTACACATTTCCACGTGTCTGTAGTTTTTTATATCTATAATACTTTTCGAAGTCAAGTGACAAAGAGAGTCGCTGTACTTCTAATTGACTTCAGGAGTTCCGTCCAATTCTCTTATTCAAACTTTGACACACGTCACGAACTAGGCAGAAGTCTAATTTGCGACTTTCAGATAGAATTTTGCAACTAACAATAAGTCATGCATTATAATGACAGAAATTCCCTGTTTAGTATGCTAACTGGGGCGAGCAGAGGAGGACGCCCATCTCAGTGATGACAGGAAGAAATTAAAAAAGGGAGAGTCTGACCTTTATTAACTGCATGTCAATAGGCCTCTCCTGCAGGATTTTACAAGGAAAATGACGGGTTCTCATAATATGTACCACTCTTATGGTAACACTGGAGAAACGGCGCCTCAGGTTCAATTTTCTGGACTGTTGACTATCAGAACAATGTCTCTGCAGTAGTCATAATACAGGCTATGAATATTTTTCTCTTTTTTGTGTTTTTTTAAACAGATCTGCTGCTGTGCTCAATATGAATCCCAAGCCTATTTTTATAGAGCATTTATTTTAGAATGAATTTATACAGCGACTGGATGTGTCCCCCAAGAGCGCCACCAGGCAGGCGCTGTTGTGTTTATATTAGAATGCTATATTGACAGATAAGCAAACAGAGGCACTTCCTTAGAATGGAGAATAATACGCAGCTTTTGGTGTTCTGCACCTCAAACAGGTTGTTTAGAAATTCAAACCATCACCTAAAGGTTCGTAGTACGGGATCTTTTTTTTATGGCCAAGTGAGTAGCTCTCTGACTTTGAGAACCTGCATCAGCTTTTTAGGCCGACGTTACAGATGGCAGCTGTAAATGTAGCGCAGGTAAAATGTCAAAACTGAATTACCAGCGAGGAGCACAGCTAATGCATTTCTAATGAGGTTCAAGTTAGCATTGGTGAAATACCACCGAACAGAGCAACATGTAGCGAGCAGCCCGTGTCGGTGGCACAGTGACTCACCCTCGTCACGTTCTTGACCCGGAACAGACGAGTAATAACATCATCATCGGCCGACATGGACAGAAACTCCACCTCCATGGGTCCGTACTGCTGCAGACCAGGCTCTGGCCAGTACTGAACACAGGGCTGCAGGAAGAGAAGGAGAAAAAAAAATTAATTACTGATTAAATTTGGCATGGAGCAGAAACTCATGAATTCTTCTGCAGCTTTTCCAAAAACCCGGATTAGCTGAGAAAACTTTGAATCAACAAAGATTAGAGAGCTTTAAGAGGATCAAAAGATGGAATTAATAGGCAAATAGGTGTGTGTGTGTGTGAGAGAGAGAGAGAGAGCCGTGGGGGGGGGTTCTCTTCTTGTAGTGTTTGAAAACAGGAGAATAAAATTGGGGAGTCACGGAAATAGGAGTAAAGTAGCTGCAGTGGTGCCAGTGTTGTTAGTTTGCCCCATATAGACACTGTAGGGCAGCACAGGTGTTAATAAGCAGAGGGGGGGGGGGACAGAGAGGGACAGAGAGGGACAGAGGGAGAGACGGGGGGACAGAGGGAGGGAGGGAGATGTGATGTGCATTAAGAGAGTGAACAAAAAAACACTCCAGCGATGCCACAAATAATCTCCTTAACAGACTTTGTAACAGGATCTGGCAATAAACAAATTAAAGTGTGGATGGTACACTTTGAAGAGCAACGAAACAAATAAAATGAAAGGCTGGGGAACACAGAAAGAAGAAGCAGGCCTCAACACAGATACCTCAAAGTGTCTTTCTTTAAAAGTGCCGTCTGCAGAAAAGTTCTAAAAAAGAAACCACAGAGTCATTTCAGGTTCCGTTCACTCACTAATCAGGTCACAGGAAGTGAAATACCTTTTTATCAGCTGATCAGGGAACATCAGGGTGGAAATGTTTACCAGGTGAAAATACACACAGTGGGAAACAGTGATGGAGTTCAGTGGAAGCAGATCAGCTGGAATAAAATATTGGACTAAACCACAAACGGCGAGGTGACAGGGCTAGCAAGGTTAGCTTAGCGGAGTAGAGCCTGAAAAGATGGCTACAGTTGTCAGGTAATATTTAAAAATATTTTTGGTTTCATGGAGAAAAAATGTAATTCTAACAGTATTTCAAGAGATACAGAATATTACAGATATTCTATATATATATGTGTTTATATATAATATATGTGTTTTTATTTACACACAAAAGGGGACTGTTAGACGTGGGCAATAAAATAATACCAACACAATGACATTTCATATGTTGTATATCGATCATCTTCATTAGTCAGAGGTCAAATATATCATACTTGATGCTGTGTTGCTGTTAGCAAGCAAGCTAAACGTTTAGCATGTGTATAACTTGTGTTAATGTGCTTTTTGTAAGACTTTACTTGTATACTTTAAACGTCATATTACTTTAGTCTATTCATGAAAATCAAATATTATCGTGCACCATGGTATCATAACTGTGTTTACAGCGCTCTCTGCAGGGCTGGGCTGTGTACATTTGTAACAATAAATACAATTTTTGAACAGTTTTTTCAGCAATGCATCCTGGTGATTTTACTACTTAAATTTAATTTTCAAACATAAAGGGTCATTTTTCACAGTAACAGCCACACTACTGGGACATTTTACGTTTAAGGAGCTTTCAATTCTCAAAGATTCGTTATTAAATGTATTTCAGGCCAAATATTGCCAAAAAGGTTCTCCAAGGTCATGTCAGGAAAATATGACATTGACAAATATGTGATCGGGGGTAAAAACTCTCCTACTATTAGCACGAGGTATCTGGTAATTACTGTGAGACCATTACCAATATCCTAAGGCAGAAGGACTGAACCAGTGAACAATGACGACAGTCTGAGTGAATACAGGTAATAATTAATCACTAACACTACAAATTAAATATGTATATTTGAAGTTTCTCTGAAGCAAAAAAAAAATCGTTCATTGGTTTTCAGACAATTAATGTCCTGTAGGAATGTACCGTAATGGTATTTAGTACTGTATTATTTATTTATTTCAGGTATACAGTTTTAATCAATATAAAAAACATGACTATGACTTGGTACTTCAGTGTCTACTGCTGAGTATTTGGAAAAAAACTCGATGACATTAATGGGTAAGAACAACACAAAAACAATTCATCAAAGAAACAACACAACTTTGAACATTCCATGTCCCATTTTCTCCTTCTTTCTGTCCTGTTCACCTTATTAAGGTTTTTCTTACCAATGGTTATAGATTTGCTCAGTGTTTGTTGTGTTTTTTTCAGGTATTTTCAAACTTTCAAAATTGTGTGTTTTGAATATGTACTATTATTGATTAAGCCGACAGAAACAAGCCGAGGTGCCGTTGTTACACACAGAGTAAAATGATGTATTGATCCAGGACGTTGTTTTTTAAAAAGATTCGGCTTTTACTGCTCTGAGAACAGCACACGGCCATGTGTAGAGATGACCTGTTTATTTGGGTTTTCTTTAAAAAATATTTGTTATTTATTCTGGGTTTTTACATCTCTGCTGAAGGCATGTTTCAATCATTTTCTTTTACTTCACAAATATTCATTTTCAGTAAGACAATGAACTGATTCATCTTAAATTACACCGGTATACTTTAATTTAAGAGGTGAAAATACATTAAACAAATTCAAAATGATTTTTTTTTTAAAAAATTGCATTTTTCTTTGTATTTTTGTGTATAAAAAATATGAATATATTCAAAAACATTTCATGTTTTCCTGTGAGTATTTTTCAGTCTCTGCAGGTTTTAATGATTATTTTCAATAATTTTCTGATGCTGCCGGGCTGAGCACTGCTGAGACACTGGAGATGCATTGTAGGTTGCTAGGCAACGGAGAGTGTTGCATTCATGGTCTGTTCTTCTGTAAATTTATTTCAAATTACTTACCAAATGGAATTCTCTTAGTTTGTCTACGTGGTTTTCAAACCAAGTAACCCCAGAACTGGGCCACTGCGAGGCTGTGTCTGGGCCGCACGTTTATCTGCTGAAAGGTTTGTTCTAAAAATCCTTATTTTCCTGTAATTTCTTCTTTGTTTCCTAATGTGGAGATCAGATCTGAAGTTCAATAGTTTATATATATAAAAAAGGCTCCAGTGGTGTTCAGAAAACCAAACAAAAACGTCCAAAAGGAACCTGAGAGATGAGACTGGAGGTGTTTTCAAACCTTTTCTCAAGAAATAAAACTTGTGAGGAGGAAGGAAAAAAAATTCTAGGGAGGCTGTTATCAATTCAAGCCCCGAAATCAATGTGGTCAGGGATCAAAGCACAACAAAATGGCATGAAAGAACTAATCCTGAGCACTGATACAGAAACTGAGAGGTGGGGGGGGGGGGGGGGGGGGGGAGAGTACAAACAACATCTAGACTGAAAGAAAACTGGCCTTTGGTACGGGTGAATTCAAACGTTTGGAAAAAAAACAACAACAAAACTACTACACGACCCTTTGACCCCGACTTACCCAGGCAGAGTTGGACTGGTTGAGTTGGTTCAGCATGACCACAGCGGTGCAGCCGTAGTCAAACACCAGCCTCCAGAAGTCGGCAGTGGTGCCTGGCAGAGGGTGAGGGGTGACGATGAAGGCAGCCTGTCTGAAGAAGCTGTCAGCCAGAGCAGCGTTGATGTAATTGTTGCTCTCGCCCTCTGTTGTAACCAAAAAGGCCAGCGCTCGATCAGGCGGCAGGACGTCCATGCTGCGGTTCTTCTCTCTGTTTCTGGGCAACAGAGCGATGCTGCACTCCTCCACGTCCAAGTGGGGAGTCACGGAGTTCAGTGTCTGCAGATGGAAATGTTAAAGGGATTAGAAGAAAGTGAGACGATGAGTTCACACCGAAGAACGCTTTAAAAGAACGAACTAAGGAGGAAAGAAGAAAGGCGGCAGTAAAGACACAAGTGAATCAAAGACGGAGGAGAGATGAGAAGAGATGAAAGGAAATCTGAAAATATTAGGCTTGTGTTGATCAGGTTTATTCATTTTGGAAATTAATCCGATAAAAAAATTATGCATTTAAACGCATAGGTTGAACGATCATGTTCACTGTCTTCAAAGTCAGGGTCGCAGCCCCCTCGGGGACCCTTAAAAAAATTGGAGGGAGGAAAACAAAAAAGATTATTGTTTATTTTATTTTATATTATTATTTGTCTCAAGTTTCCAATGGTACCTGAATGCAGCTCTAAAAACATATTTTGTAGCACTAGCCATAGGTTTGCAAAGGGGGTCTAAAGCCAGAAGCTAATGCTAATGCTGTTTGGGGTTGACTGGGCATAGAAACGTTTGGGAAACCTGCTCTGATACAGAGGTTGTAAGGGGGTCTAAAGCCAGAAGCTAATGCAGTTTGGGGTTGACTGGGCATAGAAACATTTGGGAATCCTGCTCTGATACAGAGGTTGTTATTTGAACACATTATGGAAAAAAAAAACGTTTCACCAAATCACCTTCAGCATTAAATACCATCCCAACGCCCAGCACGTGTTTGTGGATTCTTCAGCTTCAGATCAGACGCCTGGCTAACATCTGATCATCCTCTGAATAACAGTGATTAACCACTATTATTCACAATCACTATTATTTGTGATTAAATGCAATTAATTGTCACTAATACACAGCTACCGTGTGATCAATCAGATTAAAATGTTTGACAGTCTTTACAGTAAATACAGTCATGTTAACTGAGAGGGTTGTTAATAGTCACCACTCAGTTCTGACAGACCAGTCCAAATGAACAAAGGTTACATTTTTTTTACATATGAGATGTAGTGAAGATTACTCAAAATGAAATAATGTAAATCAATGTCCTTTGATGAACTCTTTGTACATTCTGCTGTGATTAAATGAGACAAGTCAGAAAAAAAAAATATCTGGATCATTAATAGACTGCATCAATAATGGATCTGTGACTCGCTGATCCCAGAGCGGCCGCTTGGCTGAGGGCCGTCTGCAGAATACGGGAGTAAAAGTCAAAAACGGAGCTGATGAGTCGGTGGAGAGTCTTTCAACACCAATGTCAGAGGGATTCGTTTACACGATCAAAGCCGGCCATGAAACCTTCTCCGTTATGAAAAACCGACAGCTTGTAATCAGAGTGTGGTACCACCTACCGTACCGTAATCCAAGGCGAGGCATTGATCAGAAGAACTATATGAGGAAAATAAAATTAACAGAGGAGCCCGGGCTGTTTCCAAGATAACTTTGAAATGCTAAACCCTGGAATCTGCGTGGCTGCAGGCTGAGAGCCGCGGCGCAGGGAGCGGGAGGAAGCAGGTGAGAACACAGCTGGCTCTCTTCTCTCCCAATAAACATCTAATAAAATCATCTGAAACCACACCGCTGCAAAGCAGGCGGCAGATTTCAACGACTGTCACACAGAGAGCGAGGGGAAACTCACTGATGCACGCAGACACACTGCAATCTCACAGTCCAAGTCTGATCTTTAAGAGGACGGCCATGAGGACAGTCAGCCTTTTCTCTGCAACACACAGTCCACAGCCCACAGTCCACAGCCCACAGTCCACAGTCCACAACCCACAGCACAGGACATGCTGTCGTAGACCGTGAAAAGAAAATGGACTGACTGGTTGACTGCTGTCGTAGACCGTGAAAAGAAAATGGACACAACCGTTACTTCTCAATGAGGGCCTGGGAAAGACTGGAAGCACTTTCCTGCTTTTGTCTGTTTTTTAAGTCCATAGGAAACAAGGTCAATCCATTTTTTATTCATTTAATTTTTTCACATTTTTAATGCTCTTTAAATCTGCTGTTAAAAATCTGTAAAACCACCCAGCTATTGACACCCCACACAGGAGCAGTGGACTGGTTTTAAAACACACCACGGTCCTGCTACAGACAAGGTCAATCCATTTTTTATTCATTTCAATTTTTCACATTTTTAATGTTTTTTAAATCTGCCTGACCCTTTAACCACTGCGCCACAGGAGGCCCTCACATAGACAATAACACCTCAAAAGTCTAGTCTCCCTGAATAGACCATGAAGTCTCACTAACAAACTACGATGTGATCTAATCCGGGGTTGTCAAACATACGGCCCGCAGGCCAAACTTGACCGATTAGGATGTTCATTCTGACCCGCTTCATCACACTTCATGTTCATGATATGTTTTGTAAAATGATGTTTAATTGATTGTCGAAAAGACTTGTCTACAAAAGGAAAATGGAATTTTTCTGTTGAGAGTTATCAAAGCCTTGAAAGAAGCTTTTCAGGTGCAAGGAGTGCTTTTTCATGTTTCAGACCAAATAAACCAGAACAGTAATTTTAACGTATGATGGAGGTCACGACTGACCTGGAACTCGTCCCGCAGGTGAGAGGAGTTACTCTGAGAATCCACCCGCAGCATCTCTTTGTACGCCACGGCGAACTCGTTCACCAGGATGGACGTCTCTCCGCACAGACAGGCCTCCAGAATGGCATCGTGGATGAAGATGTACTGCTCCTGCAGAGACAGCAGGTGAGAGCAGTCAGTGTTTGTTTGTTCACGGGCGCCAGGCATGAATCTGAGGCAGCAGGTGGAATAATGTAACGGAGCTGCAAACAGCGCCGCAGACGTAGAAAAGGCAGCAGTTTAGATGTAAATAAAAGAAGATTATGAATTAATTATTTCTCATAACCTGCCGCCTTGTGAATTAAACATGCGCAGATGAGTTTCGACTCTACTGGAGAACACATTAATATTCTCCAGTTAACACCGGCGCTGTGCATCAAATTAAAGAACTGCTGCAAATAATTACAAATGCAATAAACAGCAAAGACAATGTTGGGTTTACATTATTAAAAGGAAAAGTATGGAAATCATCTTCATATTTAAGACGAGCATCCTGTCTACAAACAACAACAACAACATGTGAGTCTGCTACAACAACAACAACAACAACATGTGAGTCTGTTCTCTGAGACCATTTTTATTTAATAAAAATATATTAAAAAAACATATAAAACATGTGGGACAAACACGACAGAGCTGTCTGTTTGACCTCTGACCTCAGTCTGGATCATGTTGATGCGACGAGAGCAGAGAGTTTTGACACAGTTATAGATGTCCACCACGCCTTCACACTCCGCCATGTCCAACATGACGTCCAGCACAATGTAGCAGCCGGTACGGCCCGCACCCACACTGACACAACAGACAGAGGAGAAAGCTTTTAGAAAAGTTATACCAAAGAAAAAAAATGCAAAAGAAATGTGTCTCTTTACTGTAGTAAACTAGGCTGGAGTTGAAGCTCCACTGGTTTAAGGGGAAATTCAAATAAGGATTTATATTTCTCACATTATTTTTACTGTCTATAAATATTTGAAGGCCAATTATTTGCTTCATATTTGTTTACATATGTATATATATATATATATGTTTACAAACATGCGTGTATTTAGATATACAATTATATAAATATAAACAAACATACACATATAAATATATATACATAAAAATGTATATATGTATATATATGCATATACATACATATATACATACAGTATACATATATGCACATACATATATATAAAACAACATTTCAAAATCACAGACAAACATCACACTTTTAACCAAAATGCAAAAGGTTAAATTACTGAGGCTTTGCTTGTTGGATGATTTTAAACAGTATCCCAGTACTATGCCTGTCATGTATTAAGATAAAGACGTCAACGTCGGTCGTAACACTTGGTGTCACCTGCAGTGGACCACCACCGGCCCAGCGTCAGGAGGCGTGGAGGCCTTCACCCTTCGTATAAAAGCCAGAAGTCCGGTGGCGTGGTAGGGCACTCCATGTTCAGGCCATGATGTGAAGTGGAACTGACGCACCTCGTGTTTAGTTGAGTATCCTCTCTGTACAGACAAACGCAGTATTCAAGCAGTATTCAGTACTGCATCAGTGGTGTACGTCTTTCATCCAGTGGACTTGAAGGCTATTATTTCATCAAAGGCTCAGTGAGAAATACACAGGGGTCTGGTTTGGTGTGACGACCACCAGGACAGTGTTCGTGTTGTGTGGCCACTGGGCTTCACATGCAAATAGAAACAGTAGAAAAATAAAAACATACTGAGACTGAGGTTTCAGAGGGAAGAAAGAAAGAAAGAGAGTGTAGCTGCTGCAATCACACAGCAATGCCTCACTCTGTACAGAGAAGTGAGAGAGGACAGCAGAGGGAGGCAAGGATTTGGTGAGGAGTGAAATAAAAAAACAAAAAACAGAAAACAAAGCAGGCTGCCACCGGCCTGGACATTTGTGTCCATCTGAATTAGCAGCATTGACTGTGACAGGCTGATGATAATGCACCGTGAGTGTCTGTCCAGTGGCGCTCACACAGACAGTGATCTCATCAATGTCAAGATAAAGGCCATTTGGGAACATGTTGGACAGTAGACGGCTGCAGATGCTAATTCCTCTGACACACACACACACACACACACAAACGTCTTCGATCACTGAGTCCCGTCAGACATTTTATTAATGTGTTTCCTATTGTCAAATTTGGGGTGTGTGTTACATGGATAACAACAGATTATTATTACAACAATGAACAAGAATCCTCAGCATAAATGTCCAAGGAAGACTCACCCTCTCCAGGGCCAAAGTACGAACTGTGTATTCAGCCAACGTCTCCGTCTTCAGCAGAGTGATTTTAATGTCGCCGTACACCTCACTGTCTTCTGGCCAGTATTTACAGCATTTCACCTGTTGGAGTCACAGAGTGGTAGCAGTGGTCAAATACAGCCTGAGTGTTCTTCATCACTGCTGACACTTCAACGTAAATATAAGAGGAAATAAGTTTAGAAAGTTTAGTCTTTCTACCTTCAAACACACAGCACTATTAAACACAAATTTTAATTTTACTTATAAAAAGAATAAATACATGACAGGTTGATAGAAAGTGAACGACGTGACAATAAATATATATTTGAAAAACTCGACGACTTAAAGTGTTCAATTAGAGGAAAAGTTTTCCTCCTAAGTAGTGATTTAAAAGAACAGGATAATGAGGACTTCAACTGAAAAGTCACTTTCAGGTAATTGTATTCTTGTTGACTGTCACTTCAACAGAACAACATTATTTATATCAGGCGTCAACATCAGGCTTCAGCAGCTCCCCCTCTGTTGGAGAGGAAATAATCAACAAACACACTCAGACGGTGTGAGGGTGTTTGGTCGTGTCACCACTGCATCGTCACTAAGAAACATCGGGTCAAGTTAACGTCACGTCCAGGACGATGTTTGTTCCTCTGACCCAAAATGTAAGCAAGTGTTAGTTAAATACTGGTGCCACGTTAAACACTACACAGATAAAAAAAAATCACATTTTACTGTGTGGTCGTTTGATCACGTAATGGTGAGAAACATAACAGACAGGAGGCAACAATCTTTTCTTTTTTTTTTATCCAGCACCAGGCAGCACCAGGCAGAAAGGGTTTTTCTTTGGATTCAGGTGCAGAGACCAGGTTGTTGTTTGCCGTTCCTGGAGTTGTGAGGATGAAAAACCAAACTGAATGCAGGCTGACTGGGAGAATAATGCCGTCATTTTACCCATTCACTGAGGCAACATGTCCCCGTGAACTAGGTGTGGAGGACGGAGGGAATCAAACGGCACAGACATTCGCCTCAGGTGCAAAACAACAGTTGTACAGCGGAGCTGTTACAGCCTTATAGATATATACGGTTCATGACCTTCCTATGTGGCACATGGTATTTTTATAAAAGCTGTTGTTGTTTCCACAGTAACATGAGAATGATACCTAATTTAGTATTTGTGCATCGTCTTATATTTACCATAATACAGTGTTCTATACCCTATGTATACACTTGTGTGTGTGTGTGTATATACTCTTACACAAACGCATATGTGTGTGTGTATATATGTATATAGGTATATATATATGGATATAATGTATATATGGGTATTTTGTGTGTATATATTTATATATGTGTATGTATACTTTGTATAACAAATATCAATAATCAACAATAATTATTTCATATCTATTATCCCGACAAATATCAATAATCAACAACAATAATTATTTCATCTCTATTATCCCATTACTACTACTAACCCACTATCCTACTAATCCAATGTACTAGTATCTACATGTACTAATAGTATTTACTAATATCTACTGTTCAGGTTTTTCCCTGGTCTTTGCTGCTGCTCTTGTTTGTTCTGGTGCTGTGATGCTGCTGGAGCCTTCATTTCCTGAAGGGAACTCCCCAGGGATTAATACAGTTCTATCTATCTATTTCAAAGCATCAATGTTTCTGCATCGTAAACAAGTGTTGACGACAAAATTATATAGTAATTTGTGCCGACACGTCGGTCACGACTCCTGAGATTTAGCCGCCACCAAAAGATTGTTTCCCAGAAAGTTCAAGGAACAGCTTGACATTTTGGGAAATGGACTTTTCTGATTGATACCACTCTTATGCCTTGGTGCGCCTCAGCGTGGAGGCTGGAGCTGAAGGTCCTGTGAGATCTCTGCTTATCAAACAAAAAAACCCTTCAAAGAGAGACCGACATGTTCCCTCGTGGCAAATGTGGGATCTTTCTGAGCCGGCTGTGCTGACAGCAACAGAAGATGGGAAGGAACACCACTTACCCTGCCAACCTCCACTAGTTTAGTGATCATGACAATGCTGAAACAATTTTCCTGCCACACCATCCTCCAGAAATCATACAGAGTCTCCTGCTTCGGGCCTGCAAGGAAAGACGGAGGAAATAACGGTGAAGGACAAAGACAGGCAGCCGCACCACCACCACGTGACCTCCACAGAGGTCATCCAATTATCAATACAATCTCAATCATCCAACTCGATCAGCAACATAGTCATCGGGAAATTTGGCATTATTCAAATTTAATGTTGGATGAAGATACAACCTGGAGGTTGTGTAGGATTTGAAAAGATTTACATGAACAGACGACTGCTGTCAAAGGAAGGACGACTCAGCTTTCAGTGATTGGAAGAATAAAAATGGTATTTTTAAAAATAATAATATGCTTTTTTATGAAAATATGAATACTTTTTCTGCTAATACTAAAACTTTAAAACTTTAAAATTGTTATCCGTAAAAAGCAGAATCCAAGGTCACAGGAATACGTACGTGTGAATGTAGAAAATTAAAAATATACTTTTTAGTAAAGGAGCAGAGCCAGTATTTTATCTATCTTAGAGAGAGAGAGAGAGAGAAAGAGAGAGTATATGAAACACTGATTAACTGATGGCCAAATAATAACAACATTAATATTTTGCACTACTGTAAGTAGTTAATCGATTACATGACTTTCCAAAGGAGGAAACTCTGCGTGTCTGAATATTATATATGAGACCAGCAGGAAACTGTGTGTGCCTTCCTGACAACACACACTGCTCCATATGTCACAGAGATGAAAAGAATCTCTCCTTGATGTGTTTAATGAATCACTTTCCTCATTCTCATCATTTCATTTTATCACCAACAGCTCACGGTTTGCCAGAGAGAGAGTGTGTGCATGAGCAGCATCATTGGCTTGATCATCATCAATTTATTACACAGGGCGGAAAGGATGCTTTCCATCCTCGAAACTCACACACAAACACACACAAACACACACAAACACGGAGGCAGAGAAACACACACTCCACAGCCTTGCTGGGAGACTCACCTTGAGTGGCGATGAAGTGGTTGGATCGATGGTAGCCCTGAAAGAGAGCAGAAGGATGACATGCTGAGTAAGCCGTCGGTGTGCACCGCAGGCACAGCTGTGTAAGAGAGGCGTCGTTCGCCCCATTTTTAATCCCCCCCCAAGTATGCAGTCCTTCCACTGACCCACTCTGTAAGTGTGGACCGGGTTTCCTTCATAACTCCTGATCTGTCTGACCTATCGCTGAATACAGACCGTGTCTTTACCCTCTGCTCCTCAGAGTCTGGAGCAGGTGAGCTCCACCTTTATGAACTGCTGATGAATTTCTGAGAAAGTGATTTAGGAAGGTGAGCCGGGCCAGCTGACTGAACACAGCCGGAATTCTTCTGACACTTTAATAAAGATATGACAAAAGAACTAAAAGTGCCGTTTTTCAAATTTTTAGCTCTTTGATTTATTTCTCAAACTCCACTCCTTTCCCACGTACGAACAAATATACTCTCACACCAGATACATTGTACTACATTGGAGATAAAGAAAACTGCTTACGAGACATAAATCTTTTCTCTGGGTTTTATATGCGACGGGTTTCACCCTTGCTCACGATATCAGCACCAACAAAAACAAGCTTCAGAGGAGGAACTCAGAGTGAAGTATAGTGAGATCCTTCATATCAAAGGTGGTGTCAGCCTTTGATATAGATGACAAACATTTCCATATTGTGAGTATGAGTTGAATATGAATGAACAATGAGGTGTCACCTCGGCTACCTTGAGGAGAATAAACACAACAAAGACAGCCTGAGGGACTCCGAGCACCGCAGTCAGACAAACACTTGAACAAAGTCTTCCTTGAAAAGAAGTCCTGCTCACCCCAGCGTTACGACAAGATTTTTGTTCATTTTGTTAACAGCAAATAATTCCAGGTTTTTTTTTTAACATACAGCACTGTTGTTAGTGGTTACGCTTTGAGTCAGCGGAAAGTTTTGCTCCAACGTAGTTTAAGTCGACCTCTTTGTCCTGTTTCTAAGCAAAGCTATTGGAGCAGTAATAATTACAAGTGCTTTGGAGCAAAAACCAGTTTCCAACGAGACACCACTTGGTTTTTTTAACCAAGATATTGAAAAAAAGAACTGTGTAAAAAGTTTAACTTTCAACAGTAACAAGGCGGATTTTAAAGACATGACGAGATGCAGAAGCCGTTAGCGCCCAGCATCACGTCCAGCTACTGTGGAGCGAGGAGCTGCCGTGGGGGCTGTTATAAGGGTGAGGAATAATGGCCACCAGTTTGTGTTGAGGTTTCTTCGAATTCAACCAGACACTAGATCCAGGGGAGCTGAGTTGGCAACTTCTGCATCAGGCCTGTCAGTGTGACCAAAACGTCCAGTTATACACAAGTCAAAAGCAAAGTTTGACCAGGAAACAACAGAGCTACGTGTTAAAAACAACCTGTTCCGATTAGCAGTGCTAAGTTGTCAGGAAAAATCTGAACAACGTCTGAAAGACCATCAGCTTTCAGATCAGCGTTACTGAGTTAACCACCACGACGTGTTGGAAATGAAGATGGATGAGCAAAGCTGTGAGGCCTACTATCCACAACTCCTCTGGCTCTGGACACTCTATTAGCATGAATGCTAGCACTCTTCCACTTAAGGCAGTCAGTGGAGCAAGTATCCAAGTGTCTCGGCCACTAATGAGAACTAACAAAGTGGTTCGGTTTCTCTCTGTGGGCACGACACGTGTCACTGGGTTCTGGTAAATATACTTTTTTTTTCCTCCAAATGTTTAAACCTGAGACAGATTGAGCTTTGAGTATTTGTGGATAGAGGATTGTGGTGAGGAGAGAGGGGAGGTGGAAGTGGAGAGAGGAAAAGAGGAGAAGCAGAGCAATGGTGGGCTGGAGAACAAGCAGTGAAGTACTTACTTCCCTGTTAATCCGAATCTACAGGGTCCAAGGTTGGAGGAAATGGAGAGTAAGAAAAAGAAGACACACAGGCCGGTTAATGAAAGCGTTTGACAAAGAGGAGTTATGGTCACAGAGATGTGGAGGACAAGTGTGCTCATGGAATACTACTTATGTCTGTAAAAAAGAAATTCACTAGAACTTCAGAGGGTTTAGTTTCAGCAGTTTTCCACTGATATCAATCTGCCTCTCATGTCTGTTTTGATCCAAACGCTGCCAAAATCCGTGAAGTGATGCGCTCCCTTTCAGACACTGAACTCATCTGAATCAACAAGTCCCATTCAGCTGTGATCCTGAGGAAACTGGTCTGACTGGTCGGTAAAACAGTCCGTTGACAGAAAGCTGAAGGTAGAAGCCAAGACAATTTGTTGGTTCACTCGTCTACATCTGCAGCGTTGTAATAGAATATACCTGTACACATTTCAAAAGTTGAAATGTACTGTGAGATCAGCTAAAGACAGAGAAATATTGTTGAAATATATTGACTCTTGTTTAAGTTGAGATTCTCTGAAATGCTGCAAAAATGTCTTTAGTTTCAATGTTTTGTTAAAAAAAGAAGAAATTCTGTCACCACTGCCAACAGTGAATCATGAAGAGTACTGCAGTTGTCACATATTATTTACTATGACATGAAATCTACAAATATGAGTAACAGCTGTTACGTCATGCTTCTACGTTAAAAATAAATTAATTCAATTGAAATACATTTAAACATTCTTTTAGAAATTAGAAAGTGTTACGCAACATGTCCTGATTGAAAAGGCAACTTATTGATGTCAGGTCTTTGCCTACCGATATGTGTTGTTGATCCTGTGTTCATATGCAATTCATAATACAATTACTAATCATTCCAAATTTTAATCGTGTCCAGAACTTGTTGCATTACATCTGAAATACTATTTTGAGCATTCCACTCTGGAGGTTAGCTCTGTAACACACAAAGAGCTCAGTGTGGGTGTCAAACGTTCTTCTTTATTTCCTCACGGCGTTTGTTGACGTTTCACCACAGTAACACTGTGTGTGTCAAAGATGGACAAAGTCCTTCGAAGAGGAAAGAGAAACAGAGGTGAGACCTTTATCCCAGTGATCCTTCACATTTGGAACCAGACTTTGAGGAATCTTGTGGACTTGTGACATCAATTCCCTATTTCTTATCTCACGCTTTGTCTCAGATCCATGATTTCGTTTGTTCTGGCCTTTTGTGTACACTTTCACCTCTACACAGCATTGACTAAACATTACAATAATGAGAGGGTGAAAAACAAAAACACCTTTGTTTTAACCCCTGACAGTATAATCACAGGCTGCTGAAGTCAGTTACTTCCAATCCTTCAACTGGGTCACAGCCGTCAGGGTGTTACATTACTGACACTGTCGTGTTGTTTTTCTCCCCAAGACGTTAAGATGCTCGTCAGGGTGTTACATTACTGACACTGTTGTGTTGTTTTTCTCCCCAAGACGAATGGACGTTAACAATAAGCACAGTCCTAAAAGCCGACCTGGTTTTTAATGAGCTCAATGTCAAGAACTCACTAAAAGCTTCTTACGACGACACACTTTCTGCACCAAATAAACAGGAGACAAACTGGAAATTATTTTATAAAAAATCCACAATTTGTAAAACTGTCACAAGCAGGTACGTCTCCTCAACCACATTTTTCAATCATCTAGTCAACATCAGTGGGAGTACGTCAGCCTGCCTCAACCTTTCACGGAACTTCAGTTTGCGAGGCCCCAGAGTGAAACATGCAAAATAAACCTTAAAAGATGAAGCGACTGCAGCAGAGAGTTAAGATCCTTTTGATAAAACTCAGACAAAAGCCCCGTCTAATGACGGCAAATTCACAGAACAAAGAAGAAAAAGAAACCAAAGGTCGGGGTAAAATAGTGGCTGGGATTCTGATTAAACTTCTGTTGTCAGAATAAACACAGGCTTCTCCTAATGTGTGGTAATGACAGCACGTATGACTGTGGGAGATGCAGCAGTGACATATACAACATGCATATTATGCGATCAGTGGAAATGCCACAGTGACGGACAGTAAAGGTGAACAGTGGAAAAGATCATCTCCTCTCAGTCCGTCTGAAGATTGAATAACAATCATGTCCATTTGAATTCTGGGGGATTTACCCCTGGACAAATCTCCATCTCCTTATTTCTCCTTTATTACATTCCTCTTCAATAAAAAACGTGGCATCAGAGTCTGAATCAGAAAGGCCAACCAGGTTTCTGACAATAGTGTCAAAATAGAACAAATAAAGACCATTTGATTAACTGGTGAAGGTGGGCCAGCAGACTGGTGGGTTTAGAGGAGTGAGAGTGATGGACTGTGGCTGTGAGAGCTGTGACAGACGGACAGGCAGCATGAACACAGCCAAAAGGAAAATAAGGCGATAAAAACAAGGGGGCACTTACGTCTATGTAGTTAGCGTTGATGTAGTCGGAGTTGGAGTCTCCCAGGAGAGGGTGGAGCTTCACTCTGTGACGATCGTCTGATACAGATCAGATAAGAAACAAGGACCAAGGAAGGTTTAGATGAGGAAAAAACAAAAAACCTCTGAGGTGAATATTTTTGTTACTTGTTTTGAGTCAGACTAAAAGGAAACTCTGACTTACAGCCCAGCAGAGTGTCATGTCTGCCTTTGGGTTTGTCCTTCTTTTTGGTGCAGTCCCAGCCGTCAAAGAAACTCTGTGGGAATAAAGAGAAGACATTTGACTCTGCTGTCCACTGTACGTCTCATCCAGTCCAGTGTCTCAGACGATGAATGACGGCGGCTTTGATAGAAGATGAATATATTTACACAGGTTACCACAATAAAAGCCCATGAGATCGTTTACAGATATTAACGACCAAAATAATATTTCAGAACAACTGAATATCATTTTCTTAAAACAAACAGATCTAAAAATCAACATTATTGTTTTTTCAGTGGACCATAAGTGAGTTTTAGCGCCCCCATCAAGTACTGTTACAGACTTTAAATCAGGAAATTAAGTTCAAAGCTTATATTTGAGTTAGGGATTTCCAATATTAACCTTTTCCTGATATCTGATTTACCGATTGTCCAAACACTTAATTTCCGATTCCGATATCAACCGATACTGATATATGTAGGCGACAGTAGTGTGTACAGTGCTAATACAGTGCTAATAATACTTTAACTTTCACTTCAAAACATCATCTTGGCAAAACCCAGGCATTGTGTTATCGGGAAAAAACGCTAACGATTCTTACCGATATTAGATAATTAAGCTAATATAGGTTGGCCGATGATATCGGACATCCCTAGTTCGAGCGGGATAATCTCGGACATTTAATGAGCTCACAAATTAGTACCACATTTTAATAGGTCTACATTTAAATATATATATAAAAAAATCTTAAAATCTCAAGTTTTATCTGCACTTTGATGAAATGCATTTATTTATAATTACCAGCATTTTATCATGTTCACATGACATACGTCAATTTCTGTCACATCGCCCCCTGTGATGGAGTGAAAGGTTAATCTGACATATGACACAAAACACTCTGCTGTTGTGGAGTTTTCAGTCACGATTAAAGCTGCACTTTTTCTATCTGGTCGCTTCGATCTCGGGGGCAGAATGATACAGTGTTAGGTAAAAGTTTGACTGACACTTGACGAACATCAGCCACAGCTCTGAGATGACAGCTAGACCTGTTTTCCTCACAGCCAACAGATTTATATCCATCAAGGCTCCATAAAACATTTAGAACTTCGAACTCTTCAAATTTGCAGCACGACGAACAAAACTAAACACTGAAATACAGAGCTCTGTGTAAAAGCTCTGCTCAGCTGTTAACCAGAAGAGAATAAAGTGGCTGTTAGCATCCGGCGTTCCTTGGTGTCGTCGCTGTGGTTTGGCTTGAGTTCGCACACACACTGCACGTCACTCTACTACCCACAGAGATGCACCACCTATTTGACACTGCCATTAGGGTTCCAGACATGCTGTATATATTATACCCTGAAAAAGTACTGCGAGTACACAAACGAAAGTACTCTCACTGACTTATTAAAAATGAAACCAGGAACAACCCGACCTGGTAAAGAACACATTTATCTGCAGTACCTGGTCATGAACCACTGCATTTTCTGACACTTGAATGCACTGGTGAGCGCCACACATAGTGTGTAGTAACACACACAAACACACACACACACACACACAGATACACAACAACAGCAGTCTACCACCTGATGTTTCCAGCTACTACAGGAATTGGGTTTCAAAATTCTGCCCTGGTCTCCATGCTGAGCAGGGGATTACAGCACAGTTCTCTTACCCAGAGCAAAGAAGCAGCCAAATCCTGCCTGGGATTACACAGCCCTCCTCATCCCCCGGACTTTTTTTTTTTTTCCAAAGGTTTTTTTTCTGTATGTACTCCTCCTCAGTGTCTGTCTCTTCCTCTGAAGAACTCATTTTCTTCACCTTCCTCCAGCCCTCCTCATCATTCTTCATCATCACTCCCCTCCCCGTTCTGCTCATCAATCATTCTTTCCTTTTACTTAGATTTCTGACACCTGGCCTGAGATCTTCTTGTTTCTCTGCTCACACCAGCTCTCTGCTCAACTCATTTCAGGGAACAGAGAGGCGGACAAAAGGAACAACACCAAAAATAAGAATGACTTCTGAATGATTGCGTGCCTCTAAAAAACAGTCAAGTCACAAGAAATATGATCACAATCCCTCTTCTGTGCTGAGCTGTGGCGGTAAATAAAGCTCCACAAGCCAATTTCTAGATTTGCCTTAAAGTAATGACACGTTTTTACACTGGAGAAAGGAAATTCTGAACAAAGAAAAAAAAAGCGTCTTTGTGGTCTCACACGGGTGAACCTGACCTTGAAAAACCCAAAATTTAATCAATTCATCCTCGGACAACACTGAGATATTGTGTTCAGGTGAAAAATAAAAAACCACTTCACACGTGTGTGTTTTCCAGCTGGTCACAACTGCTGCTGCTGCTGCTGCTGCTGCTGCTGCTGCTGTGGAGGCAGAGCCACAGTGAGAGAGTGACAGAATATTGAAGGGAAGGTAAACAACACAGAACCAACACGGAACGAATACTTTCTACTGTCTAGAAAAAAAATAAAAAAATAAAGGTTGACATAAAGGTCACAGAGTCAAAAGTGGAGAAATAAAGGAGGAGTCCAATTCTTAAAATATATGTAAAGAAGAGGATTATTCCTCTAAAATCGAGTGATCCTGGTCTCTGTGAGGATGTTCTGTGTCTCAGCCACTGACTGCATCTTAATGCATCTAAAAATACAGATTCAATACCAGCGCTCTTGACAGCTGTTCTGGCAGCATCTGAATGGATCAAAATGATGTGAACGGAAAAAAAAGAAAAAACACTCTGCACATAGATGTACTACCTACATCAATGAGTGTGAGTGATGGTGTTTAAATGGACTGAGGTGAGGAGCTCTGTAAGTGCCTGTCAAGACTAGAAAAGTGAAACGCATTTACGAACCATTATAGACGACAAATTACAACGAATTACGAAAGGTGGGAACTAGAAATCACATGACCATAGTCAGAACATGACAGAAAGAAAGTCATTTTTACAAAGGATTTGAGGAGAGAACTTTATCTTGAATCAAATTCTGATTAATTTGATGAATTACCTTTTTGAACAAAAACATTGTTGATGACCACAGGAGATTTTTTTTATTGAATGGTAACTTTATAAAGGTAATTAAGTCATGTCTTTACTTTTTTTTAACTTGATAAAAAAATCCTCTGGGAAAAGAATATAAATGACCAGTAAATACTTCAACCTACAGGTGAATCCTGTACAATCTTAAATGTACTGTAGATAAAACAACAACAACAACAATTCCCTCTGCTGACCACACACACACACACACACAGTCATTCAGAAACTGTGCACACTATTAAACAAAATCCAATATACAGTAAAAGTGTTGACAGGAGCTGCCACACACACACACACACACACACACACACTCCCTCTCTAAATTCTGAATCGGTGTTTTCGGCCGACACATGTACCGTGTTCTTCAGGGAAATAAACCCACACCTGCCGTGGGAGTGTGATGTGATACTCATCATTTTCCTTCATAATAGAGAGAGACACTCTATCAAAACACGTTCTGCTGCACCGAGGAGGTGCCTATTGATTTTTTTTTTTTTTTAGTGCACTGTGTTTTGCCCATGAGGGACAGTTTAATGAGTCTACCAGCGGAGTTTCCCAGAGGGAGAACGATGGACCAGAAACAAAACATGTTTTCCTTTTTCAAAGAGACGCGCCGTGGGTGACACAGATGGACTCGTCTCCAGGGTGTGATCGCAACCCTCAAACACAAATCTTCCCACCTGGGACAGGTATTCTGAGGTCGGGGATCTCTGTTTGCTGTGGGAATCATAGAGCTGGAGGAAGTTCACTCCGAGGGTTGGACTCCACCAGAGCAAAGAGGAAAACAGAAACCAAACAGACCGTGATCTTGGAAGCAAATATTGACGAAAGGAATGTCGATAGGTTTGAATATTTAATCTTGACTAATCACATGACTGATTGCACAATTGTATCTTTTATCCAATTGTGCTTTAATACAGACATTTTATGCCAACACAGGGGGTTGACAAATGTGTGTGTTTTTTATTGTTTTTGCTCTCCTACAGAATTTAATAAAGTTTGTTGCTTTTGTGCTCAAAATACCACTGCCAGTGCTGTGCAACATACAGTACTGGGAATAGAAATTCTCCATAGTGCTTTGAGGTTTATTAAAAAAAGCACAGTTTTAAGAAAAGGTCATATACTTTATGGGACAATTCACATCATCATTAATGGAACGCGGTGGTGAACTCCTGTTGATGGTGAATGTCGACATAATTATTTGAGATCCATTTGAAGCTGAGTAGAAACGTTGTTGTTTTTTTGTTGTGGCCTTTTAAACGATACCAGCCTGGTGCCTGATTGGTTCCTGGTTTTCCGATAGCGATGACTGACAGTAGAATTGTTAATAGTTACGAGTTACTTGCATTAACTTGTTGTCCAGCGATGACTGACAGTAGAATTGTTAATGGTTACGAGTTACTTGCATTAACTTAGTGTGAACTACTCTGTAATTCACCAGTGTCCTGACTTTTATATGTAATTTCCGTCGGTGTTGCCTTTGAACAATTCAATCTCAGTTTCTGATCTTTAATAATCTCTGATAATCTACATGATCTCGTCATCGCTACTACTATTCAGAGTACCCACTAATCCTGCCTGAGGCTGCCACCGGCATCGACTTTATATCCTTTAGTGTAGGACACCTTTATGCTTAAGAGCATTCAATAAACACGGTTAATGACAGTTATTATGTATGCACAGCCTGGCTGTTACCTCTGCACAGTACTGGGTAAGTACTGTATGTTACTACTACTGTTACTACCCTCTGCAGAGGGACAGTAATACTGTCCCAGCAAGTAGAAGGTCATTTTGAAAATTAAAAAAATATTTTCCTCATTTTTTACAATCTGTCAGCAATCAAAGATTATGTGACGCTACAGGAACTCCCCTGACGTTTAACCTCATCAGATATGTCACCGCACCAGAGGTTTTTCTTCTTTTTTCTTTGGCCCTGACGGGGTTGATTTATTCATACGTTCATCTACAGTCTGATGCTTTATTAACCCAGAAAATTAGGGGAGGAAATAGGCCGTTTTCAACACATAGCACTGCTAAAGGTTACTCAAGGTTACCAAGAACTGTGGGAAAAAAAATGACAAGGGTCGTCTTGCAGGAGTTTACGAATAATGTCTACTGACTTGGGTCACGAACGTTTGTGACTTTTAAAATATGGGTCCCTAGAAAAAAAGGTTTGGGAAACTCTGCTGTAGATAACCTGAACTTTTAACAGGTTGATGTCCTACAGTAGGTCAGTTTTCCTGCAGTGTTATAATATTGTGATATTTTTGCTAAAGAAAGAGGAAACCTGTCACAGGAAGTTGAAACCACCACCTCACGGTCCCTCATTTTTACCTTCAACCCCTGAAAAATGGTGAATTAACTGCCTGATTATTTTTAAAAACCGAAAATGAACAGTGAAAGTGAAGAAGTTCTGAGACAGATGTTCTAATTTGTGGAGATGTCTGATTATTATTACCTAACACGAGCGTAGACAGGTCTCTGACAGCTTTGACAGTTTCATCCTTAAATCTGAGTCTGTGTTGTATTTTATTCATCAGGTTTTTCAGACTGTGAAAATAAATCATTTTGAAATCTGAGCAGAAATGTTTGAATCTCATTACAGGTTTTGATCCCGGCACTAACTAACCCAAGATTAAAAGAACATTTTACCAAGGTGAATTTCAGTCTAACTTAGATGAGGCAAAGAAGCAGACAGTGACCTGGGGTGAATAACATCAACATCAATTCTACAAAAAACAAAAACGTAGTCAACTAACTTCCTTACGTTTTTAAATATGTTGTCTTGACTTGGCGCTACACTGTGATGTATATTTCTGTGCTTTTATTACCCTTCATTTCCTGTTAGTCTTAAAGGAGTGGAACATTTTAGCCATTCTGTTATATTTACAGTCACTGCTGATTGTTAAGGTCACGAAAACACCAGAGTGAAGAGGCCCAATCAATTCACACTCTTCTAAAAATGACTTTTCTCTGTGCTACAATCTCCTACATTAGCAGTGACTTCTCTGAAGTTCTGGAGCATTTTTAAGGTTTTATCCAGAGTGAAGAATAAAAGGGGAAAAGAAACGAGGGTCAAATGGAGACAGAACACAACAATGGATAACTGTTTGTTATTCTACTGCCTCAAAACTGTTACAAAGGAAGGCCACTCGTTGGAACAAGGAACTGTTTTCACAGAGAGTTCCATCATGGTGAACATTCCACTGTGTTAGTAGCTACAATGGAAAGTACTTTGTACAAATCTGTACAAACTCCAACTACAGTTATTGGTAACAGAAGGATTCAGCTACAGTTTTCACCACCACAATAAAAAATGACTTCTGTAGTTTGTCATAAGAGAGAGAGAAAAAAAAGATTTACTAATTCATGATCACATTTTGCCACCTGTTCCAGAAATTTAGGTTACGTTTTTTTTTTTTTTTTCTGCATCTGCAGTACGACACAACTGAAATAAGGTCACAAACACTCACAACTCCCTCTCTCATAAATCACAACGGCTGACAGGAAAGAAAAAAAAAGAAAAAATACTGCTGAACACAGGCTGCTGAATGTGAACGCCTGATTACAAGTAACAGGGCCGGAATGATTTCCCAGAGCGGACATATTTGCAGTGCACAAATCATCCCGAATCAGTAGCAGTACCAATCCAACGCTATCACAGTCCTGGTGTTTCTGATCCCGTTCTGGATTTCTCCGCCTGCTCAACTTGTGGTTTAGTTTTTAGCCGTTTAGGCCAGAAAAGGACAAAGGAAGTAGATTTACCTCGTACTCCTGTTTGAAGCCGTAGCCCTCGGCCGTCTTCATCTGGTTGATGTGCTGCAGGAGGTCGGCCACTCTCACAGCGGGGTGCAGCTGCCCTGTGTGGTAGGGAGAACCTTTACGTCCACAGTGGTGCCTGGGAGAACTCCCCAGCAGACTGCTGGCCTCGTTCACTGAACTGCGAGCGTCACCTGAGCCAGACATAAATGCAGTTTTCACTGCAACTGCGGGGTGAAAATTTAATTAACTTCTCACAAGGTGATGATAAATCTTTATTATTTTAGCCCGTAGTTAAGTGCGTATTAATGTAGTAGGAAATACCTCCTCTGATGCCCGTGTTACTACAGATATTGTCTGTACTTGTAGCCCTGCTGACCAATCACAGCTCTTCCTGAACTCTTTCTGCAGCACTCTGTAGTTGAGGCCCCTCACTCTGACAAGTTCTTAGACTTGGCTTCAAAACACCAATGAGCCTAGCTCGGCGACTCCTATGGGGCCCCCGCCCCCTATTTTAGGAAACACGTTTTTTTTCCCTCCAGATATTTAGAGACAACAACTCTAAAACGGGGATTCCCAAAGTGTGGTGTGCACACCCTGGGTGGTGCATGAGCTGCCACTGGGGGGTGCACAAGATAAAAGAAATATGATAGCAGTTTGGAGTGTTACTGGAGTGTGTGTGTGTCAACCCCCAATTCCCATGGGATACAGAAAGGGGGGTGGGGCCAAAAAAGATCTAAAGCTCTGAACTATCAAATTTCAGGATTGAGCCCACAACCCTGTGGCCACGCCCAAGTTACATATATTGAAGTTTTCTACAGCAGTTTTTCACTGAAATCCAGTAAGAGTTCTGTATTGATGAAGAGAGAAACTTCTCCTGAATGAAGTCCTCTGCAGTTAATCCTTCATCTCTGCTTCAGACTCAGTTTTAGTCCAAACAGTTTTTATATGTTTACTTGTTTGACTACTGTGTCATATCACCTCAAGCCCTGACTTCATTTCATTTCCTCAAACAAAGGTTCAATTCTCTTGGGTGCTTTTTGTCAACTGTACTGTGTGATGTCTTCATACAGCAGGTCTTACTGCGGGATCCACAGGTATGTGCGTCCATGAAGGACAGCGCCATCCTTTCATCCTCCTGCAGAGTGCTCTGATCGGTGAAGCTGCGCTCCATGGAACCCATGTGGCTCTTCTCCTGCCGATACGTGATGGGCGTCTTATTCATGTTCACTGATTTCCTATGAAAGGAGGAAAAATGGAGAAAAAAAGAAGAGAAGAGAAAGAAAATTAAGGTTTTATGTTCAGCGGGAGACAACACGCTGGTAAAAATTGATACATAATGGTCAAAAAAGGGTAAAAAGCACTGTTGAAGTATGACTGAGAGCCGAAGCACGAGCATGTGTTTGATGGATCAGAAAATAATGGGAAAACAAAGAGGTGGAATCACTTACGGATAGTAAGAGTAGGAGTTCCTTCTGGTGAAGGTGCAGCAAAAGGAAAAACAAAAAAATCAAGAGAAAGGCAAAATGTAAGATGAAAGCAATATCAGCGGAGGGCAGGGAGCATCGATTTGTGAAAATGAGTGCCATCTGCTGCTTAAACGTGGCTGTGAAAGCAGCCACGTTGACGCACAGGAAACGACCGAGCAGGTGCTGTCGAACCAACGCGGCACGGAGTGAGAAAATGGGTCTTCTTTTCAATCCAACAGGTTTCAGTGTTACACTTCACGGACCGGGCCACGTGGCTTACTGTCACGGCAAATTTAGCAATCAACTCCATGAGACTACCGTCTCATTTTTGGAGCTCAAAAACTAAAGTGCAGAGCAGTGTTGACTTTAAAAAACTCAGCCCCACCGTGAGCTGTCAGAGAGTCTGACTGCCGCTGCCTCCAGTGACTTCATATTCTTATCTGAGTAAGAAAAGGTTAATCCATGTTTGGAGTCGTGCACCGGCGCTGGCCAACAGCTGCGGCTAAATTAAAACAGAGCCAGAGGTTGAGCCCAGCTACATAGACAGACATAGACTTGTGGGATCATTGGCTAATAATCTGTAAAAGCACCTTTTCCCTCCCAATTACCATCTCATTAAAGGGTCAGGCCTCTGCTTGGTTTGCATAATTTAGTGGCTAATTGAATTGCATCCGTCCTTAATTAAATACTCCACACTCTGATAAGCTGCGCAGATGAGACCTGTTTGGTCCCAGTGGTGGACCATGAGGGACTGACAACAACACAGCGCTGCCTGTTGGTCCAGCGTCTTCCCTAAACAAACCTAACCTTTAGGAGAGTTCAGCACGCAGGAGAAAAAAAAAAAAAAAAAAAAAAAAACCCGATTCATGAACTGTTTCCAGAAAAGGAAAAACAATGTGGGAAACCAATGCGGTATGACGGAGCATAATGAGGCATGTTTGTTGCTCGGCAGCTATTCAGCAGACGTTTACCCTCGCTTAATGATGATGATGACAGCGCCCAGCAGGAGGATGAGGGCGATCAGACCTCCGGCACACACGCCCAGGATCAGCCCCATGTCTTCAGAGTGTTGGGACACTTCCAGAGCTTTGCGGTGATCCTTGCAGGCCGCTGGAAACAAAAACATTAAAGGTCTGATGTGAAATAATCAGCGCCATCTACTGTGACAAACAGAGCAGTTAATGTTCATAAGGGGAAAATCAGACCCTGGTAGAAAAATATAGAAGAAATAGAGAAACAGGGACGAGGCTACGGCTCAGCTCAGATCAGCACTAAAACGGCAGCTGTTCAGTTAAAGCCCCCGCTGTGAAGCCTGGTACTGAACTATGTAGGTTGTACATGGGATGTCAACGTACATATCAATAAATGTTTTTTTCGCAAATGATCAATTATCAATTATTCAAGTTACAAATATTGTACATTCCTATGTAAAATAATAAAAAAAACATTTAATTTCAAGTTAAGAAACTTATGTTCAAATTAAATCTCACTCGAATTTTTGAAGTAAAACCAAAACACTCAGTTTTGAATAATGCGATGTTGAACACACTGAGTCGATCTCTGTTGTCTCTGAGTCAGTAATTCATGGTCAAAATACAACTGTGAAGCAGCATGGACTTTATTATAAGGTCAACTGAACGCTTTTTAAGCGCCCATTAGCCACACAAAATGACCCGACGGCCGCATTCACGCCCCCAGACCTGGAGTCTACAATTATTACATTGAAAGTCACAGTTTCTGTCTGTGAATCCCTGTTGTTTTCAATGGTATAATAATATTATAAGAACAGGAAATTATTTTCTTCAACAAAAAGCTTCATGGCACTGATTGGCGCTGTGAGCTAAGTCTTTCATTTTGCCTTGTATTCTGTTTCCACTGATCCAGTTTTCGTCTGTGTGTGTGTGTGTGTGTGTGTGTGTGTGTCAGACCATCCTCCAGGCCTTGACAGCCCTAAAACAAGCCTTGTTAAGCTTATTGGAAAAGGACAACCTATCTGGAGAGCTGCAGAAAGTCAGAGCAGGCCTGGGGATAGAGCTTTAACTCGCAGCCTGCTGGGGAAGAATCAGATCTGGGGCAGAGAAAATGAAACCACAGACTTGTTGTAGCCCAAATATCTGCAGCCACTGGCACTTCACTGGAGCCTCGGAACTTCTATCCTGAGTAAAGCTGAAAATGTTCTGAGAAAAAGTCTTATTTCAATATTTTTGATGTGTTGTTAATAAAATAAACGTCTGTTTGATTAACGTCAGCAGAAATGAAACAGTAACTGAGATTAATACAAAAATGTTACTGGGTTTTACCTCCGTGACAGGATCACCAGGGATGGGAACTGATTCTATTCCTCTTATGGTTATCACTAATCAATTTGAATCCTAATTGCTGTGCTTCTCAAAGTGTGGGGCCGGTTTTTGTTTGGGTGACGTGTGGCAGGTTTTAGAACTTCTCAATTCTCTCATCGATTCCCTCTGGGTTAGAAAATACCTCTGTGACATTGTGTGTTTTTATAGGGAATCTGTTCCTGTTTCCTCTTTGTTTATATTACATGTGTTGTCATTGTGGGGTTTTTTTTCATGTGTTTTTTGTGTGTATGAATTCATCGTATAAACGTATTTTTAAGCTGTCAAATTCTTTGTCCTTGTTTCATCCTTCACATTGTCAAAGCTTTACATTCCGTCGTCACTAAATAACAGTGTTTTTGAAGCTACATTTGAAATTAGCCAGTGGAGTGGAAGAGGAGGATGTTTGACAACAGCTGAAATTATAGATGAGGAGGAAAAAAACTATTTTTAACCGTCTGACATTTTGGACAGTTGGATCGGTTTTGCCACATTTAGCCACAAAATTTCAATTAAGCCAAACAGGAGCATGAAATAGAATTGCACATGAAGCCATGCACCTGCCAGCTGCCCTTATGGTGGAAATAGGCACTTAGAGAAGAAATGGAGGTCTATTGTGTTGGACCTGCCAGCGCATCCTTAATTAAACTGTCACCTGGAAGTTGAAATGTAATCTCCGGCTTTGTTATCCAAGCCAGAATCATTTGCTTCCACTTTATTCCTGATGGTCTGCATGATAATAAAGGCTTAGCATGCAACCATACCGAGGCTAGGTTAACGGCGGAGGGATCACTCCGAGACAAGAAACCTGTCTAACCCTTCACACCTTGAAATTGGATATTACCCCGAGGATTTCAATTCTCCTGTTTGCAATTTTCTCCTTATTATTCCTGCTTCTAAATTGTTGCTTTGTATTTCCTGTTTACGCCTCTATTTATTTACATTTATAGCTAACACTGTCACATGAAGAAGAGTTTTTTGGGTTTTTTTGTTTTTGTTTTTTTACAGCTCTTGTAAATCCTCTATTTATTTACATTTATAGCTAACACTGTCACATGAAGAAGAGCCTCTATTTATTTACATTTATAGCTAACGCTGTCACATGAAGAAGAGTTTTTTGTTTTTTTACAGCTCTTGTAAACGAAGAAAGTGCAACTACATACAAAGCCTACTGCTGTGTTACCATAATTAATCACTGCTAAACTGGGAGTCAGTGTGGGGCAGATGGAGCAAAAATGGCCGCCACTGCTGTGTGAATATATGGGAGAAAAGATCTTTAAAAAACTTGATTTTTTTGCTGGTAATCAATTTTTTTTTATCAAACAAAGTTCATTGATTTTTTTTTTAAAAAACTTGATTTTTTTTTGTCAAACAAAGTTCATCTGCGCTCTTGCTGAACTAAGCTTGTTGTAGCAGTGATGATGTATATTATATTGGTTTAAAATCCTGCCATTGTCAGGATTGAGAATCAATTTTCTCTGCCTTTCATGTTCCTAGCCATCTAAAAGCTGAAACACAGCGAGGGAGGGGTTAAAATTTGTCCGACTGATAGGACAGGTGTAGCTCCATCTGGAATTTTTGATCCGTGGGACCCTTTGACCGTGCAGCCATCTACAGAGCGACTGATAAGAACAGAGAGACTGCCTTTGATACAGTGGATCCCAGCATCTGAACCCAAACAAACAGGATGAAAGCTCGACCTCTAATCCTTCCCCACGTGTCGACATTTTCCTCTCAGGCCCACGATAAAAAAAATACTAAAACTAAGACTGTCACATAACATTTGTCCAAAGGTTTCCCATCTGGATGGAGGTAACCAACGGTGCAGTGAAAACTCCATCGGTGCTGATTCCTGATTTACAATATTAAAACTGTGAGAAAGCAGAAAGAACAAGAACACTGTGTCACAGATATCTTCATGAGGAATTACCTTTGCGTGCAATGCGGATGCAGTTAATTCTGGTTTCCTGAAAGAGAAAGAAACACGACAACGTCAGGGCAGAAAACACCTCAAATAAAAAGGAAGTTAAAAAAAATGAGGAGGATGTGAAAATATTTTGTTCTCTTCTGCAAGTAATCCAGACAACTGTGTACAAAAATGACCAGTAGTGAAAAAACAAATACAATTATTCACATAACTAACGGAGAGACAAGCTTGAAGCTGAAGACAAGCATTAGATTAGTCAGGAAGACTGATGTTGTGGCTTAGAATTCTTAAAAAAAATAAAAATAAACCTGTGTTACGTCCAGTATATGTAACTATTTTGGTTAGAATCCAAAGCCTGAATTCAGGAGTAAAGATTTATACATTTGTGGTTTATGTATCAAAGAGGGAATAGAATGATTTTGTCATCACATCTTTGGGAGAGTGCAGCTGCACGGAGCAGCAGAGGCTCAGCACTTTTGTATCCCTGTTAGCCTAGCTCCCTGTCCTGGTCCATGTGTATCTTTGTACTGCATTAATCTTCAGGTGGAAGTAACTCTCTGCATCTAATTCATCTCTGAAACGGAGCAGTGATTAACTAGGTTGATTCTCTTGCTCAACAAACCATAGTCCTGTCCTGGTCGGGATTCGAATCCTCAATAAATTGGCAAACCCTTTTATTCCATGCAATTTCCACTAGGCTACACCACTACTAGTAAACAATAATTAGAACACATAAAGGTATGACATTTATCATCAGACACGTTGCCCACTTTTTCTTCAAATACTAAGATAACACGGCCACACATTTGACATGTTAAAAAGTAAAAGTAAAATATACTAAAGAGTCATTCACTTCCCAGTAAAACCCACTTGGAATCATATCACTGCCTTTTAGCCCAAGTTAATTAGAATTTCTAAATGTGAATGCACCGCATTCATCTTATCTAAAAATTAATAAAATAAAATACAAAACTGAGAAGGGCTTGAGAATATCAGAGATTCATCCTCAGGGAGAAACGATCAGCGTTAAAGATAGGATTAATTAAGAGGAAGGTTTCAGACCAAGGCACCACTATAAAAAAAGAATTAATTTACTCACATTTGAGCTGATGGCATTGGAGTGTTATGGAAAGCACCTTTGTCAAACGGCGCTAATAAGATCCGCGACGGAACTCATTCCATCCAGCCATAGCTGGTAGAGATGCATTTTTAAATGAAGATTTACTGATAATAATTCAGAGAATCACGGGACAGGCCCGCAGATTTACACGGTCTGAAATAACCAGGGGGCATTTTCATTAGCGAGGACGAACGTGTCTTAGAAACGGAAATAAAGAAACACACAACCGGAGCAGGCGCACTTGTCCCAACTGTCAGAAAATAATGTTGATAACAAAAACTGTGCAGATCATAGATTAGTGTGGCAAGAAGAGGAAGAAGAAGGAGCCTCACCTACACTGACACATATAGACACAAGGATATGTTTCTTCTGTATTTGACCCGTCCACCCATCACTGGGAGGCTGTGATCCCTTTCAAAAGCCCCAGGAACCAGAGAATTGATGTTTGCTCAACACACCAGGGCCAAGATGGAATTCAAATCTAAGCTCCTCTGATAACAAGCCTGATCCTCTGACCAGTGGGCTGCAAAACTGGTTCAATATTTATAGATATTTACACACAAATAAGGAAATAACTTTTCCTAATTATATAGATTCAAAAAAAGAAAAATCAGCTATGAATTCTGGGTTATTATGTACAGTAGATTAAAATTAAAGGAACGGGCTGTAGATTTGAGAGTTAATGGGTCAAAATAAAGGAGACATTTTGGTTCTGTGTGTTCATATACTGTGACTTTAAGTTGTTGGAACCCAAGCATAGAAAACATATATTTATTTACGAACTCTTTGGAATTAGTGTACGTTTGAGACGTGGACTGACATTCAGACGTAAACTTTGATTAACTCCTCCAACCACCACCTGTTTCTGTGGATGTTTAACCAAACCGTAGCTACTGGTGATCCTGGCAATCAGATACAATCGTAGCCTTGAGGTTGACATGTATGATGTAGACTCATACCTATTCATAGCAACACATTCATCACACAGACATGTTATTTATACAGTACATCACAATGCCGTGTATTGATTTCTACTGTCTTGTCTTGTCTGATTTGTCAGAACATCTAGCTACATTTTCTAGACCCTCAAGCACAGCACTGAGCGTGGTTATTATTATTTACTGCTGATTGTAGAACCAAGAGTCTGTTCAGTCTCTTTGTCTAATCTGGGCACATGCTGCCATATCATTGGTTGGATGATTCTTTTCCCAGAAACAGACGACAAATCAAAAACATGTTACTATTTTGTTTTTGTTTTTACAAACAGTTATAATGTCTGTGTATCATCTTATTGAAGCATACATACATTAGTGTTGAAGGCGAAGAGTTGGAGAACTAAGCTAAAGAACCTAGCATGCTAATTATTAATGGTACTTCTGTGGCTAAGGTAGAAAGAGAAATGCTCTGTTGTGCATAAAAAAAATACACTTTGAGATTTCTATTTGAGTTTATATTTTTTTTCAAAGTGCAAGTTTGCTGGAAAAGCTGACTCGTGGCTTTAAGGAGGCTCTTGAGGAATCGAGTCAATTACAGGAAACGCTGCTCATCAGCAGCAGCAGAAACAGATCTATCTGATCCTGATCCCATTTATGGAGAAAACATCTGGGATTAAGACAGAGTACAGTCACATCCATTTTCTGTACATGATGCAATAAGGGTGTGCTGTGATGGATAGTTTCGGAGTCTCTAATGAGCTCATCTGAATCCCTCTACCGCTGGCTCAACACACCAGTTAATTGTGGCAGAGCCCACATTGTGGGCCATTAGACCTGGTTCATGTCTGACTGTGCTGAGCCAATGAAGCCAGAAGAGGCCAGCGGTTTCTGGCACTTTCAGATACAGTACAAAACCAACACTGGCAGAGTCCGCAGCACAGCAAATACGCTGCATGTGTTTGCGTGTGTGGAAATGTAAGTAAATAAAGTGGTTTTAAATAGCTATGATAATGTACTTGCCAAGTACCACACGTATTCACACTGCATCTGTGGATGACTCAATCAATGTGATCAGAATCACTCTCCTGACAACTGCTGAGGAAACATGCCACATATTCCATTTACTCTTCAATCTGTTTCCATTACTGTCCCCAGCAGAAGCCACCCTACGCCTCCGCAGACAAACCGGAATAAAGCACTCAGACTTTGGCTTACTATGTCTCAAGGAAAATACTGACATTAGTGTGAAAATATACTCATTAAGTGACAAACACGACAGCGCCATCTCCTCCTCCGTGAACGGTAACCTTGATCATTTGGTTGTTTTTTTCCCATAGTATATGTTATTTATTCCTTTCTTTGTGATGATTCCACTTTCATTTGCAGAGTGAAGCAGTGGCTTTATTGTGTGAACGTATGGGCCCAAGGTACGTTTGTATTACACTATACAAACCTACAGTTTTCTTATCTGTCATGTATTGTGTATTTCCCTAACTGACCTGAGATGACGGGTGGAACGACTCAAGCAGGAAATTATTTTTTAGTTACAATCCAGAAAAAAACACACTGGTTTTTGCATCACTTGTTGCAACGGCAGCCTGCAACCAGCGTTCTGTCCATTTCTTATAGAACATCTATGATACGGTCAAGGTTATTTATTGAGTTCTAAAACTGTACTGAACAAATTTGTAAGGCAAATCCAGACATTGTGTCATCAAAGACCTTGGGATGAAAACTTTGACAATAACATGTCTGCTTTGCAGAACTGGAAGAGCAGTTTTCTTTTCAATAAAACTAAATAGTTACATAAATGTCATGTCTCACTAATATAAGGCTGATGTACAAAATGGAACACAGTTCAGACAGTGTCTGTATCCCCACAGTTACTGGCTGCTGTGTTCTCTGCTCATTGTGGGTCATGGACGCCGGGCCCCTGCCAGGCAAAACAAAACCTAATCCCATCTGCCACCTAAACTACCCCCCCCCCCACCACCACCACCACCATCTAATCCCAAGCTTAGATGCCTAGTCGTGTGAAGTGTTCACACTGCAAACCTTCCCTGTGTTTCTCCACTGGATTGGAAAACCATGCTGAAGAGGGGCTAACGGCAGAGGAACGTAGAATACCAAGAGAAAAACGCTGGCGCACAAAACAAAAGCAGCCACTGGCAGAATGATACCGCAGCGTGAATGTATTTATTTCAAGCTGACAATCACAGAGGGCTGCAGCAGCATTCCTCTTCCACACTGCCACAGAATATTAACGCTGCAGCTTCTACCACTGATCATCTGCACCTGTGGCCAATTATGGTTAAGTAATTGCCTCACCCAGGCAGCGGCTTCTCTCTAATGGAATTTGGAAAGCCAGTGTGGTGTCCTCTGGGTATGGCTACAGACCAGAGGACTTTGTTTGCTCAAGAGCAGTGAAATGCAAACGTAGCTACAGTATGTGAAGCCATGCACAGTTTCCCAGCTCAAAGGTCTTTGAGGTCTTGGACGAATGCTTTTGCCAAATGATGCTTCCAAGAAGCTTTTGGCCTCTATTCTCAACCGGGAGACAGAACGTCAGGCAATCGTTACAGAAGTTAGTGATGTATTTTCATTAGTTTTTCACATTAAAAACATCAAAAGAGCATCAATTATCAATTTTTCATTTTGTTTAATTCTAACAATTAGCTTCATTTTCATCAGACTGTGATCTTGAACCTTTTTTTTCTTTCTACGTTGTTTTAACCTTGCTTTGTACCAAATGAACTGCACAAATATCATCCTTTTCTGTCCCCTCGGCCTCGTCCACTCATTACTCACCTACTTACCTTGTTTCCACTTTGCTCTTTTTTCACCCTCTGTTTAATTTTGCCACTTTTTGTCTTACTGCTCCAGTGTCCTTCACCTAACTTAGTTGAAAGCCTGACATTCATTTGGATTTTCTCAATGGATTTTTTTCTGAAGACAATTTGCTGTTATAACAGCCACAATGTTTCATCCACTTCACTGCATGGAATGCTTGGAAAAACTCAACTTCTGTAAAACATGATCCGACTGTGTATCACTCCAGTCCAAAGACTTTATTTCACCCTGTGCTAAATGCAAAGCTCTTTGATGACAGTCTAAGACTTTTACTTTCAAAGTCTGAATCCTAATGTTGACGCCTGCAACACGGTAGAACACAGTGTAGACAGTTACTATTCTTGACACCAGTAGAAGAGAATATATTTCATATCCAGTCTGACATGTTCTACTGCCACGTTCATGATCATCAGTCAAACACTGGCTTTGGACAGAGCTTCCTGATTTTGAGCCGTACGTGAAGGCCACTGAATTCTCAAACACTTTGGGATGGAGAGCAAAAGGCCAAGAGTATTCACAAAGTCTGCAGATGACAAAGACAAATGCAACTGTGACCTGACTCCAAAGTGTCAGCGAGGGAATGAACATCAATCAGTTTTGGACTTTTAATTCAAATTCCTGGTCAAAAGCTCTCTGTGGAACTCAGATGTTGGGTTTTATTTGATAGAAGATTTTATCCTCTGATCTACTGAAGAGGAAAAAAAATTACTTTTTGTGGTGGTCATCATATGGATTTGACACCTCATTAATGCAGCCCTGTCTGGGATTTGGACTAGTTGGTATCATGTTCTCAAGTTTCAACACTAGCCCCCTCTGAATCTCAGCTAATTTTGGAAAAATCAAAACTTTGCAGCAACATTTACGAGAATTAAAACAAACCAGCAATTTAATTTAAAATCTGTCGAGGCAGAACAGAAAGTGGCGTAAAAATAGGGCTAATGGAGGAGTTCAAACCTGCAGCGGTGCACGTCACACTGGTGCACAGTGGAACAAATCACTAAAGTGTCACTAATTCGTATTTAAAAAAACAGACTTTTGAAGGCAAAGTCCACCGAATGTAATCAGTGCATAATCATAAGAAGCAGAGGCAAAAAGGAAATGACACGGTGCAGTTACAAATAGAGCTGGAACTGGTGGAAAAAAGGAATGATTTTCAGAGGAGAGCCATGAAAGCAGGCGGGCAGCTGGGGCATCTGCATTGACACGCTGCTATTTTTCAGAACATAACGTTCTGACGGGGTAAAAAAAAAAAAAAAAAGCAACACTTAAGGAAAATGTCCTTTTCACTGATGGTTCCAAGACACAAGTCTGGTCAAAATTCTAGCCTAGTTGTTCCTTGTAAAGCAGTGAAAATTCTCCAGTGATTTCCAGCTCACTTTTCTGCACCCATTAGACCAGTTATTATTCTAAGAGTTGATATCTTAACACCAACTACAATCAGATCCACACGTGAAGGATGGAATATTTCTGGCAGGATTTCCTTCTCTTAATGGGAACGAGAAAAAAAAAATCTATACACTTTCATTTTTACCCTCTAACAAAATCAATGTCTTATATATGGTTAAAACACGACCCCCTAGTGAACGTAGCGTGTATATATAAGAGCAGATGACAGCCGCGATCTGCCGATAGGATTGTTTTACAAATTACTGATTCACCACATTTACTTAAAGACTCCATTTAAGGCGGGTCGCAGACACGCAGGATGGAACTCTTATGGATTTCTTTTTCAGAAACACTGGACACCAGATAGCCTTTAACGGCCATATTAGTAGATTGAGATCAGAAAAGGTTTATTGGACTCTGAAATGGATGCCATACATCAGGAACGTTCTCCGACTCCTCGTATCGATCCTCACATGAAGGAGGTCGCTTTGAAAATACAGTCGGACACAGAGTTCGGCAGTAAAACTGAAACAAATGACCAGCTGTAATCTGTGAACACGCTCTTCATCCTTTCCTGGGCGTATATCTGGGTACAGTCGATACGGCCTGAAAAAACGATTCTCATTCAACTTATTTGGGCTGAGATGTCAAACAAACCGATTCTCAGGCTTTAACAGCACATTGAGTGAAATTATATATAAGTCACAACTGAGTTCAGGCTTTAACAGCACATTGAGTGAAAGTCACAACTTAATTCACAAACCCAGCCAAAAGATGAAAAAAAGTGTGACTTATAGTCTGGAAAATATGGTGATGCTGATAATTCCAAAACAGTGAATATTTAAGGGTTAAAAAAAATTGTTTCTGAACTGAAAGATTTGTGGAGGACATTACAAATGGACAGAAAAAAACAAAGATGATGAAACATTTCATGTGAAATGAATGACTTATGCTGTTGACTGTTTATATCCAGCTAATCACTGCTTTTCTGCCTGTAAATGATGGCCGTGAGTAATCCTTTGTTTCAAACACATTTTGTCTGAAAAGAATCAGAGCGTATAAACTGGAAACACTAATCTGAGAGTGCGAGCGGCGCCGGATAAATATGTTTACATGTTACAAACCCATCATCAGTGTAAAAAGGGCTGTGAGCCCAAACAATGCTGTTCTACACTGTCACCAGCAGGTGAAGCTCAGACAAAGACTTACATACATCTGCCGCAGCGCTGGGTGTAGGCGCGGGAGGGGGCTTTTACAAAGACTTACCCCTTTGAAGTTGCTCATAGCTTGGAAGAAGACCAGGTAGTTCTTGCGTGGATCCAGAGGCGTGTTCCAGTAGCCGTTGTAAGTGTGATTGTCCCCCACGGTGAAGGGACTGGCCTCGGGCAGGCTGCTGGGGGGCAGCTCGGCTGTGTAGTAGTGTGGCGTGCCCCTGGCCTGGGCTTCACCGTGGGACATGGGTAGAGGGAAACAGTCCTGAAATCCCAGCTCCCTCTTCACCTTCTTCAGCAACTCTTCTTCAACCACCACTTGGTATGTGCTGCACACAGGGTTTTAAACCAGCCTTCAGTGGACGTGTTCTGCGTACATTTGATTGACACGTCTGGCTGAGATGATCTCCTCACCTGACCGGCGCTCCTCTGCCCTGAGCAGGACGCAGCAGTACAGTTATGGTGCTGTCTGTCTCACTCAGGGGGGACGGCATGTCTCCGTAATCAAAGGTGGGAGCTGAGGACACATGAGCGCAACAATATTTAGATGAAAACACACACTCACACACACACACGTACCGTGCTTTGTTGGACCACTGTAAATCAGATTAATCTTTGCCCTCATTCAGATTCATTCAGACCAATCAGCTTTCACCACATAAACACATGTCGATGTCCCCTTATGAAAACGTTCTTTCTATTTTTTGTACTCTACTTATATATATCTACTATTTATTTCTGTTTATATATATATATATATAGTACATATATAGATAGATATATATTATATATATACAAAAATACATACATATAACTATATGCATAAACCTAAAATATATATTTGTAATAATAAAGCATGTTAAAATAACAAAATAAAAATAAATGAAAGAAATATATACACATACATAACCTACACATTAACCTAAATTTTGCATCAAGGTCAGTTTGCTGTATATGGTGAATTAAAAATAGAGAGAAAAAGAAGAATCACTTTTCTTTTTTCAAACTGGTCAATTAGTCTGAGAAGTGGTAATCGATGATTATCATTCAAAAAAAGGCCGCTCCCTAATACCACAGTGCTGAAATCCATTAGAGTGAGGCATTAGGGGAACCTGAATGTGCATTTGTTGACATTAAAGGTCTGCTGCAGTTTGCAGAAGTAAAAGTGAGTTTGATGGTGGCTGCCACTCGCCGTCTGTCTGAGGGATGATGTTGCATCAGCCCTGGTGCTGCACACATCTATCTATATGCATATTGGTGCTTGGCTGTATGTGCATGATGCCGTGTACAAGGCGATGTGCTCCACTCAAAGCTGCTGACGGTGGAAGCTGTCGACGTGGCTCAGTGTTCGCTGGCTGTCAGTGCGGATTTGACTGACGCTCACTGTAAGTGGAACTTCTGCACTGTGGCCCACAGGGGGAGGTTGAGGATGATCTGCGGAGACTTCTGGACTCTGGCTGTGGCCTGGCTTTGTGCCAGTGTGCGGTCTGACATACGGCCGTTCAGCAGTGATTGTGCGCTAAATCCGTAATTAAACAAAACAGGGCTCTCTGTAAAGAGACGGGGAGGAAAGCAAGGAGGAAGCCCGGGTGAGACGCAGTAGGAGTGGCTGCATTGTGTTTTCCTAAGAGGTGTAATCCGATCCCTTAACAAGCACAAATGCATCATTAAAAAGGAGCAGAAACACAAAGGCTGTTTTTTTCCATCAGCAGTAATAAGCTCTGAGACTCTCCGAGGTGACATTCTGGTCCCAGGAATTACTGCATCTTCCTTTATACACGGCACACAGCGGTGTCTGCTCTGTGGAGTTTCTCCTCTTGCTATGACTTAATTTATGTCCCCACAACTGAGAGATGACAGTGTGTCACTTTTTTTTTTTTGGTGAAGCCATTGAAAATAGCACTTGCACTCTGGGAGCAGTAGTTTTGCCTCTGAGGAAAGATACTGAGGTCGAAAGAGAAAATCCAGATCCTAATTATAGCACCCAGTGGGTGAAGTGGAGTGTTGTGCCTTTGTGCTGCGTCAATGACAGCACAGAGAGCGGCTCCTACACAGACTGGCTGCCTGTTTAATTTTGTTTAATGATTTTACGGCAGCTTTCACTCGCCCTCTCGGCTCAGTTGGGTGGGAAACACACAGCCGTACGTCACAGCAGATTAATGCTCTGCAGCTACATCTACTATTGACACTAGGAGCCTCTCTGCTGAGTGGCAGCTGTGTGTCTACTGCAGTGTGTCTTTCATTGCTGCTCTTAAATTTGGCCATGAATTATTTTGTCGTGATGTCCAAACCATGTGACTCCACACATGGTGGAATAAAAGGCTGCCTGTTGAAGCCATGTTGAACCTTATTAGCAGAGTAGCTAACAGTAGAACCTGCTAATGTCTAACACAACTTGGAGACATTCGACAAAAAACCTGCTTCGTGACGCAGCACTGTGGCCTGGAGGGTAACACATTTGGTTTGTAATCAAGATGAAGGACTGCTGGTTTGAATCCCGTCGGGTGACTCGGTGTGTGTTCTACCTGATATGTTGGTGGTGATTTCGGTGAGGGCTGTTTGGCCGAAGCCCTTGGCCGTTCGAGCTCGGACAGAGATGAGGTAAGTGGTTCCAGGGTGGAGGTTGGAGAACATGTGGTAGGTCTCGTTCTTCAGCTTCGACACCGTTCTCCGAGGTCCGGGGACGTTGATACCTGGATCAGACGACTCAATGCTTTGGTAGCTGATCTGTTGAAACGAGGAAGAAAACAAATAATCAGGGTTTGAATTCTGTAAATGAATCATCAGGGCAGATTTCTCCTTTTCATTCAGAGTAATTATTTAGCGTTGGAGTCGTCTGCTGATCAGCTGAGGTCATTAAGTCGACGCACAAACGACTTTGTCAGAAGTACGCACCTGAACGCCTGATATGATTCACCACAGAATTGAATTCATTCCTCTAGATGATTGTCTAAATTGCCCATGTGGATTTCTAGTTCCAGATGAACAGGACTTGATTGGCATTGGTATTGTTATTTCAAGGTCAGACCAGGAGAGTGTCAAATAAAAAGTTTAATGAGTGGTTCATTACATTCAGACTAAACTAAACTAAACTGAGGACACAAATGTAACCGACTTCTGCGTGTTTAAATCTATATATTGTCAGATGTTTGGTGCATGAATGTCCTTGAAAAGTGGCCTAGTCTGACTACATGATATTCCTGAGGGAGTTTCAATGAAAGTGACACGCAGTGCAGACTGAGGGTTGATGACCTTGCTGTGATCAGACCAGGGTGATACAGACACACTGGGGATTAGGCTGCAAAAATCTGACGTCAGTTGTGTAATATCACTCTCCTGCTGCTGCTGCTGCTGCTGCTACGACACATTTATATGAATATATAAGTGAAGTATTGACCAAACACACAAAACATAATCGATAAATATGAAAATATGTCCTTTTTTTTCCTATTATTATTCCTATCAGAATGTGCTATATGTTTAATAACACACATGTCAGCATCACATAGTTTGTCCAATTTCAGTAATGTAATCTGATGTGCCGTTTACATATATATGTATATATATATACACATATACTGTGTTAATTACTGTTGCATTTGAAATAATCAACACACAAGAATAAATCAATAATCATTTGCAATTCAAAGAGCAGGAAATTATCAAAGCAGAGTAATTTCTATTTCTGTTCCAGGAAAATATTTTTTGAACCCGTAAAAACAGAACAAAAGACCAAGGTCAGAGAGACATTCTGCTCGTTTCTGTGGTTGTCGATTTTCAGTTGAAGCTTTCGTTAAAAGGACGTCATTTCTTTACACACAAAGAAGAGTTTGTCTGTCATTATTTTCATTCTTAAAAATACAGATTTAGTACAGCTGGAGTCCAATCCAGAACCACTGTGGACTCCTCTTATTTTTTAGTTTCCAAATGTATAAATAACTTTAAACTTTAACTTTTTGGTGACGTTGAAGGTGCTTCAGTGTCAACCACGATATATTTGAAGCTGTCAAAGACATGGGAGGTTGTGCCTCCTTAGCTCACCTCGTATTGGGTAATAAGGCCATTGGGCTCCACGGGCTCCTCCCACTTTAGAAAGATCATGTCATCCAGTGGGGTGAAGGTGAGCGATTCTGGTGCTATGCCTCCAGGAACTAAGAGAAATTGCCAGAACAAACATTTGTTGGGTAAATTCAAGTGCTAATCCCGCAGAGAGCATGTCCTGTCAATACCAGAGAAATGAATGTCAGAACAATAGAACACACGAGTCGCTGGGGCAGGCAGGGAGCAGGAGGCCCAGGGTATCAGACACCCACCTCCAGGATACTGATGGGAGGCAGGAAATATCAGGGAGAATTTACAGTTTCATTTTTGTCCTCTCTCGAGCGTCCAAACGTATTGATGAGCGTGCCTTTGACATTTGCAGGCAAACATGGTTCTGGACGACACTCGGAGGACAGTAAACATTCTGTGTTAACAGTTTATGTTTTAGTGGGGGTTATTTGGACCCATCTCCAGTCCCTGCGCTCTGCGTGACTGCTGTTTAGAGAAAGACTTTAATGTGAGATACCAGCCTGAGGCCAAAGCCAGCGTCAGACAGCCGAGGCCGCTGTTATTTCTGAAATGAGCGCGTCTGTAGAACACAGTCGCTTCTTAAGACTTTTGTTCATAAATGATGCAGAGTGTGCTTACACAAAGAAATAATATTTTCCACTGCTTTAAAAAAAAGACTTTTGTTCTTTTTTGATATATATATATATTTAAAAAAAACTCTTAGTTTATACTGCTTTAAAAAAGAAAAGAAAAACCCTTGTTTGTTTTGCTTTTTTCATGCTAGGGTTGATTTCTCCCTGAGTCTCCATGCAGACATGTGCACAGAGGAATAATAGCAGATAAGACACATAATCCTATCTGAGGGTTGAAAGTGCCTCAGATATGTTTCTGCTGTTTTCATCTGGAAGTGAAATGAAACTTTTATGATGTGGAGCCATCTCCTCTGTACTCTAGTGTTGGCAGAAGTGTCAAAGGTCGCTCCTTAGATAAAACTCCTTCATATAAATGTGTGTGTTGGAGGAGTTGAACCACAGTACAAAACCCTAGACAAGGCAATATATGTTTGGAGATTTTAGTAGAAAGAAAAAAAACAATTAAGGTAAAAGGTTCAGTAATGTGTCTTCAGTTGATTTTCAACATCAGTTAAACTTTAATTTAAACTCATCTCACAATGGCCACACGGCAAGAACAGACCATTGAGGAAAAATTGAACTGAATTGAATGTGCCAGTGGATTTAGACTAATTTGAATTAAAATAAACACAAATGTCTCTTTTCTAAAGATTAAAATGTCCAAACAGAAAACAGAAAAAATGAACTTAAATAACCTTGTTTTGTCTATTGAACAGACAGACAGACAGACAGACAGATTAGAAAAAGAAATGCAGCAATGACACATAATAAAACGTGGAACTGTGGAGCAGCCACGTGTGTTGGTGGACTTGGCTTCAAACTAGGACCTTGTGTTCAGACCAAGTGCTTGAACAATTACTTACACATAGCCTATGATTTTACCATGATTGTTCTGGGCTCTACTTCTGTACTTTAGTGTGGAAACCTGATTGGCCAGAAACAAAAAAAGACGACAGTGAATGTTTAGTCTTAGACTCAGTTGGAACCTGAAAAATACAGCCAGATTACTCTGCTCTGGGCTTAAAAAAACAAAACAACCACAACACGGCTGATAAACGTCACAACTCTGTCTCTGGGACGTCTCAGGTCTGGACAGTGTCCTTCCAGACATTTACTGAGAAAGATGTTGAACAGCTGGAGTTTAATCCAGTTCTTGAGACTATATTTAAACCTGGGATGATATTTCTTCCTGTGTTTATTGAAGACTGAAACGATGTCAGGCTGGTGATTTGTGCGTAATTGAATTTATACAAAGTCAACGCCACCGCATTTAATCAAAATTAAATACTGCTGAAAACCACAGGGCCGCAAGGTTGAAATCTTCCATGTTCTTATGTTGTAGGAACAGGATCACTGGTTTGATACCAACTGCTCACTAAAGACAAAAACAGAGAACTTTATGGAATCAACTCTGGAGAAAGTGTTGGTGTTTACAGCAGATCTGCTGCAACAGGAGGCGCCAGGTCCCTCTGGAACTCGAACCCAAGACCTTCTAAATAAATGTAGTCATAGAAGGTGTCAAAAAAAACATCAGTGAGGTTTTACCTTTCCACCTCCTCCACCTGTGACAATGAGTCGAAGAATACACCAGAGTTGTTGAGAAATCTGACTGTGGGATACAGATGTCCCGGCGTTCCTACTTACTGTCCTCCTCCGTCTGGAAGGTGACCTCTCTGCCTTCCTTCTTGCCCTCTGGATTGGTCAGTGACAGCCGGACGTAGATGCTGTGGTAAGGCGGAAGATCGCGCAGCGTGAGCCTGGAGGCGTTGTGCTCCACCGCCAGACACTCCCGCACCGTGGTGTTGTGGCCTCCGCCTCCTCCTACAGTGGTGTAGCTGTAGCACAGGGACACCGAGTAGGTGTGGCAGCGGGTCAGGTTGAAGGCCAAGTTCTCCCACTGCAGGGACAGCTGCCTGGACTGGATGTCTGTGGCCGTCAGGCCGCGCAGAGCGCGCATGGGCTCTGGGAGGGAAGAGGGATGATGTGGGGAAAAAAGGAAGACATGTATTTATTTAAAAATGTAATTAATATTAAATAATCTCCAAAAAGAATACTGAGAAAAAGAATGTTTTATTAAACAGAAAAATATTGGTCATTAGGAAAAGTGTCATAAAAAAAAGGTCAACTTTTCTCAAACAGTTTGAAGCTCCAGAATGGAGGACATCTGGAAGACAAAGCACGGAGGTAATTACCGAGTAACTAATGTCCCAGCAGCACCTTGGCGCTCCTTCACTTGTTCACCACCTACGTGTAACCATACTGCTCCATCACAACTGTTTGCTGCCAGCAAAATGCTCCCACATCCCCACGGCAGAGCCGCAGCTCCTGCCAATTGTGCTAATTAATCGGATAGGCTGCGGGTCGCCGTCCCACCGCACTCCCACGTGTCCGCACCGCCATGTCAGCGAGCAAACTGGCTCCGCAGTGGTTACTCTTTCCGGCCCAAAGGTTTCAATCCACAAACACACGTCAGTGTGTGACAGGAGAGGACGTTGACTTCCACTGGTCAACATCTCAGTCTCATGTCTCATATTTTTTAGAAGGCACATAGATGGTCCTGTTCCTTGTCGGATTAACACGGACTCTCTATGATTTAGGCTGAAAAGACAACAGCTCTGCTTTGACATCCTCCTGAAGTGATAGGTGGCAGTGAAAAGACACAGAGGCTCTCTGTCCGCGGAGGCACAGAGCGGTCACTGTTCAGGAGGATGTTCAAAGGAAAAAGCAGCTGAGTAAAGCCAAGGACATCTTCAGTATCAATGGAGCATCTATATGTGGCCATTATTAACACAATCAATGCAATTTTGTTGAGCAGTATGCTGCATAATGTACTGTATGGATTTATTCTCTTTTTAGGCCACGTTGAGTAATGGGCTGGGGAGGCAGGGAATGACAGCTACAGAGCGAGAGAGGGAGAGAGGGAGAGAGGGAGAGAGGGAGAGAGGGAGAGAGGGAGAGAGGGAGAGAGGGAGAGAGATGAGAGGAGTTTGAGGTTATTGGCCAAGGTCTTCATTCTTTCACCAACTCTGTGGGATTCTCTCTGCAGCACAAATTATCAGAGAGGACCTAAAGAGGACGGCCGATGCATCACTGAGCAGGAGATGATGCGCTAAAACAAGCATTAGCCAAGAAAATTGATTTGAAAAGTGCCTATGAAAAGACACACTACTGCAAACGCCTCAGCCCCAGTAGACCGACTCTGTCTAACACTTGCTGATGAATATAATCATCATAATATATTATAACCCAAAGACTAAATTCTGATTCTATTCTCCAAATATTGGAGCAAACATTCTAGGGTGAATTCTTACGACGCCTCCAGTCCATGCTGAAAGCCTCTGCAGTTTCCAGCCTTCTCTTTTCATTTGCTGTCAAACGTCTCACGGCAGAAGGAAATATGACTGGAGCATTAATCTGAACCTCTTCCAGCATAATGTGACGGCAGATAAATGGCCGGGCTCAGCGATCGCAGAGTAGTAGACTGCACCCTGCACGAAATATTAATGTTCCATTGTTCTGTCTCACTGAGGATTGTCTTAATGGTGCAATTGATAGTCTGCACAGTCTGAGGGCTAAATAAAGAGAGGTCTTTAACAGCTCACTTAATGAAAGCAAAGCCAAAGAGGCCACAGTGTGCTCATTGTAGGTTTTCTCAAAGTGGACATTTGTGCCAGTCCCTTCCTCTTGCTTCGTCTTATTTATCTCTATGTCCTGGGCAGCCATTCTCTGGCACCCACTGGCATGAAAACCGCAGCCGCTCCAACGTGGCCAAAAGCCCAGAGGGCCATGCTAATCCTGTGAGAGTGAAGTCAGTGTGGATTTGTGATAGTCTCTGGTTTATTATCTCTGCTGAAACTGTGACATTGACAGGATTGACTAAAAGCCGCCGTGATATTACACGCACCCTTGAAGTAGATCTGGACCGACTGTGTCAGAGTGGAAAAACAAATTTATACAGATATGCAGAAAAACAGACAGAAAAAAAGGGACGTGGATATATGAAGCAAACAAATCTTCACCCACGGGGAATTCGGCCTGAAATATAATGTATGACAAGCCACAGCACTCTGACATGCTCCAACACTGGCTCCCTTTTCCACACCATGAGCATCACGGGCAGAGACCTGCCAGAAGGTGCAGTGACCCAGCAGCAGGTGGAAGCCCATTAACATAGCTTGGGGACCACCTGCAGCACGAAGGCTCGCCGCGCCTCTGTGATTTACTTGAGGGGCTTCAAGCTGTGCTAATGCACCGTGCTGGTAATCACAGCAATGGCTCATCAAGCACACCTGGTCGGCCATCAGAGCCAGGCGGAGACCATGTTCGCATTCACAGCCATTAGGTTTACAACACCCGGACGAGGGCAGCTCAGGTCTGCGAGGGTGTGACGTGTACAGTGAGGCACAAATGATCTTCAAGAACCAGGGTAAGAATATTCAACAGGACCTCTTCAGTTAGTGTTCTCCCGAATTCAAGAGGTTCTACAGAAGGAACACAACCTCATGTCTATTTACCTGTTTTGAAACCCTAACGAAGCCCACAGCAAAGAGGGCAGCAATCAGAACTTTGGAACGCGGGGTCAGTAGGGAAGTGAAGACCAGATGGTTTGTGGGTTGGGTCATGAGAGCTGTGGGGGAGCAAGGTGTTGAAGTAAGACTGCTGGTGTTCACAGAGGTCAGATGCACCAGGTGGAGGAAGCTGCGGGTTACTGTACAGAGACTCACACAGCAACACACACCCGAGGAAGAACTGCTAGTCCTGAATAAAGCATTTACGAATGTGTGGAAAAGGATTCTGGTAGGCAGCATAGGTGAGTTCGAGACAAATTTGAAGGGTTGTACAAAAAAAAATCCATTTCTACCCTAGGTATGGTGGCCCAGGCTGAAAACATTATTTTTTACTTTTTGCCATGTTGGTCCATTTCCTGAGCTGGAAATTGTTTTGGTGCATGCAGGTGGATTTATTCTGCACATTATTTCAGACAGAAATTATCGAAGAGGAAAGTTTAGCTTTAGCAACAAAGAAAATACCTATATTTGCAGAATAAGTTGCTTTTAAATGAGATTAGATTAGATTGGAGTCAACTTTTTCTCCTAGTATTTCAATGCATGTACATTGATTTCATTGCTGGTTCTGGATCCAGGACTGAACCCCCCACCAAAGGTGAAAAGGGTGAACTGTCTGTGGGTCTGGTGCAGGACGTCCACCAATTAGGACAAATACATAACATATTATTAAAACTTGCTATCTGTAAAATGAAAAACACATCTATCATCAAAAGAGGAAAATGGAAAATAAACAAAGCGTGCAGCAGCATGGAGACAAACAACACCATGAACCTAACAGTTATTTCTTTTCTGTAATACACAAAAAATGCAGCTGAACCAACAAATATACAGAAAAAAAAATTTGAAAACGGTCCCATTTTATACAACTATGAAGGAGAATGTATTGTTCTGCAGTTGTTTTTGGGGCTTTCATACCTAATTGTTTTTTGTAAATCTGATATGCCATGACAGCTGTTCAGTCAACAGGTAAATAGAAAAATCTGTAGTGTGGCCAAAAGAACCAGACAGGAACTGTATTGAAAAAGATGATTTACAATTCTATTGAGAAAAAAAAAACTGACTGAAAAAAGAAAATTGATTTCACCTAAGTCTCACATGTGTTGAAGTGGAGCAGCATCTAAATGCTGTGTTTAACAGCTCAGCAAACACAGCAATGTTTCGTATCCCCCACATGGCTGAACAAGCTAATACAACAGTGGATGAATTGTAAATACATTATTAAAGGCAGAGTTTGGAAACTTCCAGAACATCAACAACTGTGAAAGCAATTTCCCTCTTTGTGAATCCACTCTCGCTCAACTACCTTTTCTTCCTACGGTGTCAGTCTTTTACTTTGAAAAACTACCCCATCGTCCAAACACACACACACACACACACACATGCGAGATATTCGTGTTTAGTGAGGCCTTTACATGGACATATGACATTCCCAGACCTAAAATCTCAATCATCAAATATAATTAACTTCTACCTAACATTTACTCACAACCTACGTACACAATATTAAAGCTGGGCCTATTTAGTTGAACACAATGTGGATATAATCACAGGAATTAAAGAAAGACAAACAGAATCAATCACAATCAGTCTGTCTGCTGCCACCTAGGGGGAGGGTATTTAATAGTTCTGCCTGCCACTGTCAGTTAGACAAACAAATTCAAATTATTTGCAGTAACGTAAGCCTAACCTCAATAATAACAGTAATACATTACATTTCCACAGAGCGACACCCGAAGACACGACGATACAACACGTTAACAATTATTAGTTTATTCACTAATCCTAATCCTCGCCTCTACAATATGCAATATTGCCATGCAATATGTCCCCACAAATGTAGAAGGAACACATGTACACACACACACACACACACACACACACAATGCCACACCACAGCATTCCTCCCACTCCCTTTTCTTCCCCTTTTGCTCCAGCTTTTTTTTTTTTTTTTTCAAATTTTTTTTTTGTGAGTAGGGGAGAAAAGGGTGTGTGGAGAGTGGGCTTTGAGCTCACTCTGGGTGTCTGATGAATGAGGAGTGTCTCCGGCTGTTGGGAGAGGAGAGTAGCTTTAATATGTCATTGGAGGGTGGGGGGCAGAAAGGCAGTAGTGGAGCAGGGTGGGGAGTATGTGAGGGATGGTGTGTGGCAGGAAGAGACCGTTGGGCATAGACAAGAGTGATGACCGTGGAAGACACAAATCCACCGACTGCCTCTGGGTAACACAACGCTCTGCATGTGGGGAGTGCAGATACAGGCAGTACTGTGTGCATCTGCATGAGAACAGCACTCGTTGTGCACGGTGGGTGTATATGTAAACTGCAGCCATTCATTTCACTATCCCAGAAATCTCTCTGGCTGTGCAGCTACAAACACGAATACCCACAGGATATAAAAATTCAAAAAAATAACCTGTATAATTTCTTAAAATACAATTATTAAAATTGTTTTTACTCGTAACTTTAAAATACAATTATTAAAATTGTTTTTTCTTACTCGTAACATTCAAATGAATGAAGGAAATGAATGAACCATTAGGAGAAAAAAAAAAACAAAAAAAAAAAAAAACAAAAACAATGAAGAGCAAAAATATAACAAACAAAAAAAAAAACAAAACAATGAAGAGCAAAAATAAATCATCATCATGCGGGCCGGATGTGGCCCTCAGGCCAGGAATTTGAGAACCCTTCTCTATATGTACAACGGGACAAAATGTCCAAGTTTTCTTTCCAAAGAATACTGGGCTTGGCTCTATGACCCCAACGACCCCAAACATTATGTTAAATTCAAACGAATGATTGAAACTATGATGGTGGGCAGTTTTATCAGTGTTCAGGTAATGAGGTGAAACCCCTGCGTGGGGTCTTGTGAGAGCAGTGCTGATTGTACCTCTTCTTCAGACATGTGGGTGTATCAGAGTGTCAGAGAAGGAGCTGCTCAGTGCTGTGATTATGTCTGCAGAGGGTGGGACAAAGTGTCCAACAGCGATGAGAGCCTGGTCCACGCGGGCATTTCAGGACCGAGGTGGCCTTTATAATCGGTCTGTCCAGCCTTTTCCCGTCTGCTGTCAAAATGCCACCGTACCAGCAATCACTCCCCTCTTCTAAAGCAACTGTTAGAGTCGACCCCGAGATATTATTTCATTTCATATGGAATTCTTTCATCGACTCATGAACACCGACTGTCCAGAGCTGGGACCTCAAACCTCCAGCCTGCGGGCCAATACCGGCCCACGAACCAACCCACCTGCGGCCCACAATAGGATGTCAGTATAAAGCAGGGGTTATCAAACTTTTTTTGTTATTTCCTACTTTAAAGAAAAATCTTGACAATTTACATTTCAAATGACTTGAAGTAACACCACGTTAAGCCATATTTTATAATGAGTCAAAAATCGTCCTTCAACCTTGAAATCTTCCTCCTGTTTGTTCCACCCCACTTGTCACGTCTCTGTTCCCTGTTAGTGGAGCCCGCTCCATACTTTGAGAAGCACTGCTATAATGTAATCTGAACCTGTGTTGTTAGTTTTTTGCCCCTCCAATGAGAATAACAGTGGTAACAGCTCATTTGAATTCGAGGCCCCTGATCCAGAGACAGTTGCAGCCTAGGTAGAGTGGCACCAGTGGCAGGATATCCACCTACACAAAAAATTGGTACAATTCTACCTCGTCACCCACTCCAACCTTTGTGGAAAAGTGTAGTGTGAGAAAGGTCAGTGTAAAAACAGTTTCAAATCCCTACACAGACGGTGGTGACCTCTGATGACCCCACAGGCTGAGAGTGATGTTTTTCAGAAAGAAAAAGTTGTAGCCTTAATACCTACTCACGTAGGTAGGAGTTGGATTGTGCACCCTTAGGTAATGTTTTTTTTTTTTGTTTTTTTTTGCCGAGTACTGCATAAACACTCGTGTTTTAATACACTTCTAATAAAGCTTTTACCGTTTGTTTTCCTGTGATTCATGCATCTCCACCACGGTCGGCAACAAATCCTCTTTCATTTATTGTACCAGCCAAAAAAGCTCTCTGTTTTCAGCTGTAGGCCAAGAAGGCTAGTCGGCCAGCTGCTATCCTTCAGGAAACACATCAGCCAAACACTGCACAGCACAGAGCGAAACCGTCTGCCTTCAGTTTGCTGAGTTAAAGAGGTGAGGAAGACTGTGCTGGTGATAGTGTCCTTCTGATTGGATTAGTAACAGAGCCGTCGTCGTCCATTATGGCCTTAGACTCTGAAGGTGTTACAGTGACATTTATGAAATAACTGGACCAAAGGTAAAGGGAACATAATTATGGGATTTTATTTTGGTCTAGATTTTCTTTCTGATCTGATGCTATTTATAAAATGACAGGGCAAAAATCAGGTAAAGGTTGCAGCAGAGATGGTGTCGGTCCCTTTTTCACATTGTGGCCATGCATCACCTGAAGTGTTCCTGCTGTAATTCCCCAGAGCTCTCCACGTTAAATAATGGGTCCTTTCAGAGTTACGTCCCAACCCAATCTACAAAAAAACTGCCAGCTTGTTCTTTGGACACAAAAACCCCAAAAGGCAGTGACTTTTAAAGAGACCGCTGAAGAGTTTGTATTTTTTTTTTTTTATCTCCGCAAATATAACAACATAGCGCAGGATCCAGATATGGGTAAAAATGTGTGGTATGGAAAAAGATGTCTGCGATAAAGCAGACAATAGTCGTTGATTTATCTGGCAACAAATAACAAATAACATCTGCGGCAGATAAAGGACAAAAGGTAGCTGATGTGCTTTCACTTTGAAATGCAGCTGCAGCTGTCCAACATAATGTTGTGGCTTTATAGAGTTTTTATGTGTGTAGTCTGCCATTAAAATGACACCGTCTTACTGTGAGAATCTGTGTGAATAATGTGACGGTTGGATGGTTGGATGGTTGGATGGTTGGATGGTGATGAATCTGACGGTCAAAAAGGCCAGTTGGCATGTTCAAAGGTTTGTTTTCTGTTCTGTGTTTTTACACGCTCGTGGGTTTAATTACTGACGTGTTTGGTTGTTCTTCTGAATCACATGGGTGAAGAAGAAGACAAGAAGAAGTGGTGTCTTTGTAAAGGAGCTCAGAGCGTTTTCGTTCAAATGATCCAAGTGGGAATATGGTTTTCCATGTAAGTTAGTAGAAAAGAGATTAATAAGAGGCTAAGTCAAACAGAGATTTTCATTTCAAAAGATGCACGATTTTCAAATACCCAAAACATGTCAAGTCATGTCCCTCAGCTGTTGGAAACAGCTGTGACAAGCTCTATCTCTTTGTTATCAACACCTAAAAAAATGAACAGTAGAAAAATCAAAGCAGACTTGAATGAAAACCTCATTCATACATACTGTACATTAGAATCAAGTCTCTCTATTTTCCCCCAAAACAAAATGAAAACATTTTGAAGGAACTTGATCTCCATCCTTGAATAAGACGAGTGTTAGTTGTTGTTGATTTTCTTAAATCTCTTTGACTCCATTTTAATTAGTTATTGATAAAATCATCAGTTAGTACTAGTTCATCCTGATAGAAATTACTATTACTTTCTAATTAGGAAGAACAGAGAAAAAGTCAGACTTCAACTCAAATTTACATCGAATCACAATTTTAGTTTTTGTTTTTTTTTTAAGAAAATTAGTCTGGTTTAGGCATTAAAATTCAATTATACAGTGCAATGTTGTCATTAAAACTGTGGACGACAGTGTTTGACATTGGCACCATGTCTGGTCACGCAGCACTGAACCCCTGGAGCTCACCTGCACACTTGGTCCTGCTCACCAGAGGAGGTCCAGGGGGACCGGTCCCTCCCTCCCCGGGCCGAGTCAGCAGCACACTGATGTGGTACTCCGTGTCCGGGTCCAGGTGCCACAGCTTGTATGTGACCATGTTCACCCCGTGCACCTCTGACCACGGGGACTGGCTGGCCCGGTATTCAATCTCCTTCCTGATGATGGGCCCGTCTCCCAGGATGGAGTTGGTGTTGAGCTGGATGATCAGGTAGGTGGAGCCGGCACGCAGCAGCTGAGGTGGTGCAATGGGGGACGGCGGAACTGTGGGAGGACATGAGAGGGGTAAAGATTCTTTTATTTTTATAGCACATATCTCTGTTGACGGAATATCTACCAGTCACTTGGAACATGTTCTGAAAATACAATAAAAACTTTCATTTTTGTAATTAGAACTCAGTGATGCATTCCAGGTCTACCTTACATTATAATATTGTCTTTAGAAAAATGACACCAACAGAAAAGCTTGGTGACAAGTTGAACGCACATCACATCCCTCTTCTTTTTACTTACACTTTTCAACCTAATGGAATTGAGGAGACGATTGTTTGGTACTGTGTGCACTGCACGCCTACATTTAAAATGAAATTAAGTGTCACCAGGGAACAATGTTCTTATTTTAAAAGACAATTATGTCTTGAACTTCAGCAGAAGAGCATGAGCCCATTGTTGCATTCAAGCACCAATATTTGGTTGAATGCTTCTTTTCTTGCATTAATTTTTACTCCATAACCTGCTTATTGAGGGACATGATATAATATTGTGTATTTTCTAGTTCCAGTCCCTTTTATTTGAATGTATTCCAGTCATTCTAAGTTTAACAGATACAGGTACGGTTGTGTTTTTGATTCACCAATGCACACACTTTAGTTTCGATTGCACCGGTGCTAAATCTACCAACTTTTTTAGAAACTGGTTTCGTAGTTTCGTACAATTAATTCAAACTGCAGTTTTCTCTTTTTTTAAGTTTGTAAAATGTCTTTATTTACATGATAATATATCAAAGAAAAAGACCTGACAACAACAACACATTCATGATTCAACACCAGTCATATCAGCCTGGATGTGTTGTTCACCAAAAAAACAAAAACAAAAAACCCTTAAACCAACTAAAAGCCCACAGTGTCTGCAGGGACTGCAGAATGTGTGCAGGTCAAACTGTGTTCAAACAGCAGATTAGTCACAGCTATTAACAACAACAGTGGCCCTGCATATATTTTTGACTGGAGTAGTAAGTAAAAAAAAACCACAGCTGTGCACACGGCCCACTGGACGACCAGGATCTCTGAATTAGCGTCGTCGATAACTCTTCATCACGCTCTTTTCTCACAGCTGGTCACTGGCATGAAAAAAGAAAAACGGAAGGATAATCTTCGCACAGCCCACCAATCAAGTGTCTCTTACAGGCAGATACGAGGCGGCGGACAATTACATGGACAACAGTGAGAGGGAGGAGAGGGAAGAAGAGCAGGAGAAGTGAGAACAAAGCGTGAGAAGAGATCCGTGTTTGATCTGCGAGTGTGACTAATCCTTCATTCCTGCAGAGGCACCTCTGTCTCTTGTAGCCCTTCTGTCCGTGGGCGTTCAACACTGGCAGCACCTCAGCTCCTCTCTCCTCTCCCCTCTCCACTGCTGCTCTCTGCCTCGGCTGGCCTCAGCCTGCAGCAGCTCATCCTCGCTCCTTCCCTCACCTCTCTCATGTGGAAAGGGCAAATTCACTACCAGATACAAACGGGCCAGATTTGAAAATAATTCACTTTTTACTGTAGTTTTTCTTAAAGTTCAAAGCACAAGGTGCAAGTTTCCACGTTGGAGCATTGGAGTACTACTTTTAAATAGAAATATTAAAATGATTTTTGTTCTGAATGCTACTTTCTGTTTATTTAGGGATTCTATTGTGCTGAAATATTCTTGGAGCATCGCAAAAATGCCCTATGAATAAAAGACAAAAAGAAGTTTGTCAAAGTTCGGGAATGAACTGTTATCCAGGAGTCAGAAGTCCACGATGAGGAACAAGGCAGAACAAGGCAGAGATTTGTGGAGAAAAAACTCAATCTCAGCTCCTGTAAAGAAGTCAGTAAAGTCATGTGACTTACAGCCCGGTACAACTCATGGACCTAACATTTTTGGGGGTTTTTTGGAAGTGAAGAAAAGGTTTATATATATATGATTCATTGTGATTAATCCACAGCTGTGATTAATCGTTAGACAGCCCTAATATATAGATTTATAAGAAATCCTTCAGAGCCTATTCTCCCCTCTGATCTTCCCTCTGCTTGGAGTGTGTTTTGCCAGCAAACCGTCCCACGACCGTGTCATCACCATCCTGTCAAAGCAGCGTCAGGCTGCGGGGCTGGCGTGAGTAATGGGAGCGAGGTCACTATCTGTGCTACATGATATGACAGGAGCTGCAGGAGTCCAAGTCAAGTGAACAGCCTCCTGACAGGAGGAGTGGAGGAGCTGAGAGAAGACGAGAGCAGCAGCCTATTTGACAAGTGCAGCTCAACAAACATCGCACGTCAGGGAGATTGAATTCACCACGGAGAGAGACTTCATGGTCACTCTGCATCATGCCATTAGCCAAAAGAGTGACTTTTGTGGGAAACGACACAGTGTTGCACAGCAGTGTCACCAGCCGCTCTTCAACCAAGAAGTGGATACATACAAGAAAGTGACAGGACAAATGTGGATTCACAGTTGTGAAATGTGTTCACACCTGAGTCTGTCGTTGCTTGTTACTGTCAGCTTCGTTCTATGTCTGTTCTATCATACGTAGAGAAGCAAAAAGCTATGAAATTTCGTCAAATAAAAAGAAAAAATACACTTTGCACTGAGAGAAAGGACAAAAAGAAAAACAGTAGGAGAAAAGTTGTTTTTTTTTTACCTTTGACGACAAGTTCAGCGAAGTTTGACACTCCAGAGCCTCGAGGGGACTGAGTGACACAGCGGTACAGGTCTTGATCTGTACGCTGGACATTGTCTAGCTGGAAGGACACCACAAAGCGCCGGTGACTCAGGTGCTTGACCGATGCCGTTGTCAGAATGTCCCCGTTGTGTCTCTGGATAACAGAAAAAGGGCAGAGGGAGAAAACAGCATGGGTCACCGTCCCTTAAATACATGTGCAGGTCGTGTCCTCCACGGCAGCCTGTTTCTTTGTACCGGCTGTAAAAGCAGCCACATCCACCACATCTGTGAGAGTCCAACATTTCCCAGCACAGAAATTAGTCCTGTCACCATCCAGAGGTAACGATGCCGTGCAGAGACACAGCACAGGGAGTCAGGAGGAAACGATGGGAGTAAAGGCCAAAGGCAGAAAAGCCCTCACTGACCACTGCTGCTGTAACGCAAGAGAAACTGCCCCCCCTCCCTAATGGTTACAACCACACTCTGTCTGAGTCTGTATCATAGTGGAAACCATCCATCATTCTCTGCACACATGCAGTCAGGTTCTCCATACAGTGAGACACGTGGGATGTGTTGTGTGGTCACACCAGAACTCATTTAAACCTTTTTAAAAATATATATTTAACATGAAGAAAAACAGAAAACTTGACCTTGTTTACTGTACTTTACCACTGCCCCGGGTTGTCATTGGGCTCTTCTTGAATGGAGGGAAACTAACAGCATGTATATATACTACCAGAACTCATTTAAACCTTTTTAAAATATATATATTTAACAGAGTAGGAGAAAAGTTGCTTGTTTACTGTACTTTACCACTGCCCCGGGTTGTCATTGGGCTCTTCTTGAATGGAGGGAAACTAACAGCATGTATATATACTTATACACACACACATATATATACAGTATATACTTATATATATATACATATATACACATATAAACATATATATATACTATGTATAGGATAGATATTTAGCACATACGGTACATTTGCAATATTCTTTTGTGAATCACCGTTGATTATTAAGAAGGGTTTTTCAATCGGGTTTAATTTAATAAGAGCTGTACAACTATTGTTCTGCCATTAAAGCCAATTATATTGCGTTTAGATTAGTGCATTTACTTCATGAAGATCATCTCCTACTGCAGAAGCCTTTAGTTTACACCATGATCCAGCCAAAAACAAATCTCAGCTGTTACTGTACTCCACAGAGACAGATGGCTTTTAAGGTCTATCTAAATGAGTTCACTGGCTAACAGATGGACAACAGTATGTAGACTCTAAGATTTGGTGAGGAGCTAAGTAAAGAAGAAGAAAAAAAACAAATTGCCTGAGACAAGGTTCCTAAGCTTAAGTGTCTCTAAAGGGAGCTCAGACCTCCCCAAGGACAAAGTCAGAGGAATCATTCGGGAACTTTACAAAATTGTAAAAGTCCAGGTTATGAAAATACTACCTGTCGGTCCACAAATTAAAATATCTGTTCCTCCGTGGACAATGGCTCAAGGCTTCAGTGGTGTTTATGCAACATTGGATGAGAATTTTTTGCATATTTCGGCTGCCAAACAAAAACAAAAAGTAGTAAAACCGTCATGTCCTTGACAGTGGTAACAAAAGTGAGTTGTGCTGGTCAGAATGAAAACACTGCGAAATAGTGACAGGAAAGACAAAGTAAAAGCTGAGCACAAGAGAGATTCAAATGAATCATGCATGATGCACCTTGCTGTTTGTTGCACACTGGGAATTTTTCACATTGTTCCACACCATTAAAGCCACTATCATCAGTCAAGTCTATGTGTTTTCACAGTGGAAAAACACAATGAATCTGACAGGTTTTTTCTCCTCTCGTTTCTTTTTTCTTTTTTTCTCGCAGGCGTCGGTTTTCATACACATCCTGCTCTGTGTCGGCTCTAACTGTATCCCTACAACTGAGGGTCACTGAAGGTGAGGCTAGGTCACCGCAGCTACTGTCATCCTTCAGAGTACAGTCCGTCAGCAAAGCCACAGACCACACACCCCTCAACCCGCGCCTTAGTAAACAAACATAAACACATAACCCTTCATTAGGGTTGAGCAGGCAATAAAACATGCGTCTGCAGGAAAGGAAGGAACACCTCAATCATACACCACCGTAACGACCTTTATTCTTTATACCACTCCTGTGTGAGAGTGACAGGAAACAGCGGCGACTGAAAGGAAATAAAAAAGAGTTTCTTTGTGTTGCAAACAATCCGACCTGAGTTAAGTTCCACGGCGAGTGACTACTCTTAAAAATAAATCAGCAGCTGCAGTCAGTGCCGCAGACACTAAACCAGGAGAGTCCAACTCAGTTTTGTTCACGGGCCACATGCAACCTAATTAGCTGTCAAGTTCATGCAAACACATACAAGTATATTAGATATGTATTTTTATTTGTTCATATTTAATTAAATATAATTATTGAAAAAATATCCTGAACATGAAGTGTTTTTTTTTATTTAAGCGGGCCGGACTGAACTGCCAAGCGAGCCAATTTTGGCCCTCGGACCGTATGTTTGACACCCCTGCTCTAAACCATGAAAGAATTTATTTTTTTTCATAGTGAGAAACAAATCTATCAGCTGGGTGAGTGTGAAGCTAAGAACGTACTGGTCTCCTCAGAGCAGATGTCTGTATTGTTGCGTCGACTAATTACCCCATGCATTTGTATTCATCCTCGTGATGCGACCAAACAGGTGGTTTGATGGTTTGATGAAGCGTTGGTGGGAGTGAGGAGGCTTCAATTACATTAATCACACATCTCCCAAATTCAAACAAAACAGTAGGTTTGTCCCGGGGTCATCTGTTATTAACACTGGGTGTAGTGGGTGGTAAGATGTTGGCAAACACAATGGAAGTGTGTGTGGCTGCACGGTCTCGGACCGTAGAGGTGTGTGTGTGTGTGTGTGTGTGTGGGGGGGGGGGTCACATGGCCCAATGACGGGGTGTTCTCAAATCAGGGGCTAAATATGGAGTACGGATTTCAGAGACTGCACACTTGTTCACACCACAGGGTAACAACAACTCACTCTCACACAGCGAGGTGTTGTCAACGAGAAGACAGATGTGTCATCCTCAGACAGCAGGTGTGAGGAGGTCACCTAAATAGCCTTCACAGCTTTAAACCCAACAGCGGTGTCAAACTAGTGGCTCGCTGGCCAAATGTGGGCAAACAATTCAGTGTGTAGGACCTACACACTGAATTGTGAGGAGAGGAGACCAGAGTACCTCGAGTCGAGCTACTCTGGGTTCCTCCCCCAGTCCAAAAATGTCTCATTGTAGACGTGACCCTAAAATGAAATTTAACAGTGCAGGGTGAGAACCGCCACCCCCACCTTGGTGACTATCAAAAGGATAAAAAGGTAGAAGATATATCAATAAAAATACTAGTGAGTAATATCTATGGAAATACAGCACCTAGAGGTTTATATGGGTACATTACTAGAATAAAATGAAATCTCTAACATTTAATTGTAAGAAATCTTTGCTGGAACTGGTGTCACTCCTCATTATTGGACTAAAATTATACAATAATTGAACTAAAAATTCAGGGCAAGGCAATTCTCTCTGTCTCCTGGAAAATGGATAGTTATCCAGGAGAAGTCAAGCATTTCCTTTTTTAAAAATCCATTGCATAAGTTTTAAATGACTGAAAAATTGGTCAAGTCTTCCAGGGCGTGTCGGGGATCTGATCTACCCCGGGCTTTTAGAGAGAAAACCTGATGAATTCCTGTTAAGTTGGCACCAGAGAAGAAGCTAAAAAAAAAACTGTATTTAAATAATATTCATTTAAAATCCAGGTATGTTTGGTTTGAAGGTATGTTTGATATTTAAAATCCAGGTATGTTTGGTTTGACGACGTTGCCTGAGTTTAGGTTTTAGGAGAAAAGAAAAAGTAAAAGACCAAACGACAGCAGTTTGTTTTCATTGTATACTGTGTGTTTTCTGTCGCAGCACACACACATCTCTGTCCTGGAACCAGAGTGGGAGATAAAACATTTTAGGTGTCTGCTGCCACGTTAGACTCCCACACTTCTACTTTAACCACACGCAGTTCTGTTTGCCACCATTAAACCACTGACCTCCAGCAGGAACTTCTCGGCCTCAGATGCCCTTCCAGCAGCAACACACTGAACCGTTGCATTTTGTCCAGCGTTGATCTCCTCGTCTCCTAGTCTGGAGAAATGCGGTGCTTTATCTGGAGACACGGACAGAGGACAAGAAGACAGAGGGAGTGACGTCAACGTTCTCATGTCCTGACACTAGCCTAAACATATAGTAGCAAACCAGTAGCATATTTTATGTTTGATAAGTTTTGGCATCAAACACACTGTACTAAAACTGAAGGAAACACATAGGAGTGACAGAATAAAAAAATGTTTGCTGTTTTTCCAGTTTCCTACCAAAAACACAGATTCACTCTGAATTGACCCTCTGATAGACTGTATGGTGAACTTTAACACTGAAACAAGTAAAAATGAAAATAATGAGAAATATTAGAAGTTAAAATAACAGTTTATAACCACACAATCACAGTGAACCCAGGAATTTGAGAGATTTTGTGGAGCCTCACGCCAGCCCTTCACATTTTAGACTTCTAAGCTCCTGAAAAAAAAAGTGAGGGGCTGCCAAATGAGTCAGTACGTGGGAGTAGCCCTCTCATCCAACTCCATGATTAACAATAGAGCAGAGAGAACCAAACCCCTGTGGAGTCAAATCACCGGGTAAATGCCGACAGCACTGTCTGCCATCTCTGAGAACCCGGGAAGGACAAGCCGACATGTCAATCTGAATGAGTGACAGGGAGAGATGGCGCCGCAACACTCGACCGAGGCGTCGGGGGAAGGCTGACGTTTGGCTCTGAACTCTTTCCATGATTGAGTTTTTGCACAATGAAGCTTCAGAGGGAAAAGACAAGTTTGTTGATTTGGTTTGTGTACAGTTGCAGTAACAGGAGAGCGCCTGCATTTGTTCCCCACAGGTGGCCGTGTTTCCTTTGAGTGCCTCTTCCTCTTGCAGTTAATTCATTATTCATGCCTCTAAGACAAACATAAATAAAGACAAACAGGCCTTGGAGTTGAGAAGAACTAGTGTTATACTGCTAATCGTGTCAGCTTTTATCCCCAGGACTCTTTAGCCTGATGAATATTTCATCGAACTGTAACACTGGTTTCAGAGTCAAGCAACGAAACTCAACAGTATTTTCACAACTTAGAAGAAGAAGCAGAAAATGGACCACTTTGAGCTACGAGTCCAAGAAAGGAAAGGGATTATTTCAAGCTTTTCTTAATAAAGGGGCTTAAACTAGAAGATAAAGTATTAGTAACTATAATGCCTTAGATTTTACTATTAATGTCAGTATTTCTTGTGCTTTTTGTTTTTACTTGATTTGCACTACAGCATCTGCATTCCTGAGTTACTGATTGATCCCTTTTTATTTGTGTGCATTCGTGTATAAAATCACTCCAGTCTCTGATCTCATGATATCCTCCTTCAAATGACACCTGTGGCCTGGTGGTTCAAGGATCAGGTGACTGTGGCAGTGTAACTTTGCTCCAGTGTTTTAGGTCTGTCAGAGCAGAGAGTTACTGTGTATCTGATTTAGGACAAATTACAGTCTTTAAAGCCACACAGGGGAAAAGCCTTAACATTTGGAGATATGGCTTCTTAAATAAACATGTAGGAACTGTAAACACAGCTCTTTGTTCAGCCTTTATTTTTCTCAGATTTCCACATTGTACAAAGGTGGGTCAAAAAGTTCAAACTAAATAATTATCAATTAATATATGTATATATATTATCATTATTTCTTCCCTACATGTTCTAGTTGGCCATTCCAGTTTAGTTTTAAAGAAAGAAAAACAAATCTAATGAAGCCAACTGCAAAGCCTCAGTAATTAACACCCAGGTGCAGCAAAAAAAAAAAAAGATGATTCATTTTTGAGGTTTGAATATCAGATTGAATTAAAAGTATAGAAAGAGTTTAACAAAGACCTAATGGTTAAATGAATCAAAGATGTTAGGAGTTATGAAGACGTTTCATCTGTCAGAATTGAACATTTTAAAATGATAGTATCATCTCCAAACTTTCTGATCCACATTAGTAAAAACAGAAATAGTGTGCACAGTGACACTTGCCCTTCCCGACAGAAGTCAACCTGGGATTTGGGCACTAGGAGGTATCGAACCTGCAGCCTTCTGGTGGCATGATAGAACAGATCATAATGTGTGTGTTTTGTTTTTTCTTTGTGTAATTTCTTTCTTTTTTTAAATTTATCTTTAACTTCCAGTTCTATTCTGCTGCTATTCTCCTGTTCTCCACACGCTCTTTGTTGGCAGTTAAGGCAGGATGGCCATGTGCCACATCATAAGACACTGCTCAGGTCTTGATGACAGTCCTAATTATTTAATGGCCACAGTGGGAGCTCTCAGAAGATGCCATCTGCTGTTGGGTAAAAGCGGGGGGCTGACTGGGTCCTACGTGTGAGGTACGGGTACAAAACAGCGTCACACTCAGTGGCTGGTTCTCTCTCCGGGGGACGAGAATGAAGAATTTAAAAAAAAGTGAGTATGGAACATCCTTCGACCTTGTGTCATTACTGTAAGTCACCTAGAACCAGTGTGGAGCATGGGTGTGACGCGTCACAGCAGCTGAGCAGCCACGTCCATATGTGCGGCAGGGATTTACACAGGGGCTACATTAGTGCACTTTGTCCAGGTATCAAGATCAGATGTCTGAGTGAAAATGTTTTACACAACGTCCTCAGAGACTGAACAACAGAGCATCACTCCTCCACTGACACAAAGACTCTGTGCTGCAGGCTGCTTATATATACAGTATATATATATATATATACATATATAAGAGAAGCCTGAGGAAAACAAAACCTTGCTGTGACATGAAGCTACCAGACATTTGACAGGGTTTGAGTCAAGATCTTGATAATTAACAAATGAGTTCATTCGTCAAACGGGACCAAAGGCAGAGCAGCAGGTGTGTTCACCTGGGAGAAGCAGTGTTAGCGCTAGCTTGTCACATCTGTCAGTGTTACTGTCATCCCCCCCCCTCCCCACCCACGAAACCTGTTTTACTAACCAGTAGCACCTTCTATAATTGTACTCTTTTGTCAGAAGTGGTACTTACAGCAGGGGTAGTTGAGCACCATGATGTCATCTATAGCAATGTAGCCTCGTCGCTCTTTGGAAACCGCTGCCTCAATCAAAACCTGCAAAAATAAAGAGGATGTGAATAAATGGTGAACAGTTAGGAGTCATGGTACTTATTGTAGCTTATCATTAGCCAAACCATATCCAGTAGGAGGCAGTAATGTATCCTAAACATCTAGAGCGGCAGAAAACTGGTGAAACAGTTAGCACAATTACCTAGTTTAGTGTATCTTCCCTTGACAGAACTCAAAGAAAGACTGATGTAACATGAAAGTGTAGGTAACATTTCAGTATCGCAGAAAACACTTTTAGGATTGTTTGGAGTTAGAATGGAGCTGGTTTAGTTGTAACAATGTTGAAGTCGTACAGCAGGTGCTAACGTTCCAGTAGCAGCTCTATCATGAGCACAGACCTGATTTCTATCTTTTCTGAAATAAACTTTATTATCATTTGTTTCTTAAAAAAACAGTGATTTTTCAGTCAACTTTAAGTGTGTAACAATTTAAAACACATTTGATGGTTTATATATTTTTTTCTTTTTTTGCTTTATTGATTCTTTTCCTTCACTTCTACTGTATGAAAGACTGATAATCACTGGCTCAGACATGTCTGTCCTCCTGAGGTCAGTCAGCAATCTCCAAACACAAATGTATTACTTGTTTTCACAAAGAGGATGTGAGTCATAAAAAACCCTACAGTCAAACACGATATGGACCAGTGTTTTTATAGTTGTTTCAGATCAACCACAGCAGCAGAAAACGAAGGTTTTTGTTTGTAAAAAATTGGTGTAATCTCTGGTATACTGTATCTTTAGGCTAAGAAATAAAGGCAATTTTCAAAAAAAAACAAAAAAAACCTTTATGAGTCAACAGGATGGTGACAGATGCATTCATTAAAAGTCCACTCATCTCTATATTACGTTAACCCAAAACAATGTAAACAATGGGAGAAACGGGAAAAACACAGGCTTTAAAATTAACAGACAAACGATTTTTGCCGGTGTCCACAGGGCCAAAGGAATTAATGACTTCATCAGGGAGCACGCACACACCAACACTGTGGTGCCTGAATCATGAGTCACATTCTGCAGCAGAGTGCAGGCTGTGGGAGAGTCAACAGCAGATAAAACAACATGTACCGGGGCTGCAGGACTCCAGGGAGGACAAAAGCTCCACACCTCCCTGTGAGGAACAATAAGCCGGGTGAGTGGTGGGCTCTCATGAAATCTAATCAATATCAAATCACCATCCTCAGTAATGGTGAAAGACTTATGAGACACGGGGGTGATGTTTGTTGTCGCTGCACCAAGGACAGTCTTGCATCCTGGCGTTTGATCGAAGACCGGCGTTGAGTTATTGTTTCTCATAATCCTCTGACCCAGTGATTACAGCACACTTCCTGTCTTGATTTTTAGTGACAGCACCAAAGCACACATCCACTCAAAATGCAAGACTAGCTGAAAATGTTGTTCCAAGCCAGAGCTTGTTTGCAATTCAGATGGTTTGGTGTAAAGCCTTGTTAGTGGATTTTAACCCTGGCTACATGAGGTCTTGTTTTTTGGTCAACAGATACCACCATTTCTGCTTCTCTCTTTTCAGTCAATTTAATCCTAAACATTTTTGAACACATTGATTTTCCGTTTATTGGACTAGTGAAAAGAGTGAGGATGATGTTGGTGAAATTTACGGGTTAAAAACAGAACAGGTAGAAAATTGACAGAATAATCAAGAGTTTGTTAGAAATCCAGGTTTCAGCACAGTGATTACGGTAGATATCATACTGTACCACCCTGATCACAGGGTCCTTCTTAAACCCCTCTCCGTACACCATCTGTGATCAGACCGGAGGTTAATGAACTCACTGGCTGTGACTTACATTCATTTCTGTCACCAATTATCAAAGGCACTTTACACTGAGCTTGAAAAAGAGTTTCATCCGTCAAAGTTTTGTGAACTCTTGTACACATTGTTTTTGATTGCGTGCACATCACAGCGGGAGCTGAGAACATCTGCATATTAATTACCCTGTGTTTACTTTCTCCAGTAGCACAGAAGGAAATGAAAAGAGTGCATCAATCAAAGTTTGACCTTGGAAAAGAAGAGACACGGGCCACGATAAAGAGATGGAGAGAGAGAGAGAGGGAGAGGGAGAGAGATGTTGTCTGTTCTCCAAACTAAACTGACAGACTTGATTTTTTACATCACATTAAAACTATTTACAAGAAATGTAATTTTTCTCCTGCACAAAAAGTAGTTCAGGAAAATCTACAAGCACAGAGAGTAAGAAAGGCAGGTCTTTGATCAACTACAGTTTTGTTTTGTTGCTGAAGTTGAAAAGATATTAAAGTTCAAGACCCAGATTAGACGTAGACTTTATTGTTCCCCGGGGAAATTCATTTCCACAGCACAGTCCTCAGGTTCAGACAGACATATGATATAACACATAATAACAAGCTAACAATGGAACGGCAGCTAGGAATACAAAGTGTTAGAGAAGCAGCAAGTGCTCTGGGCTACGCCTGTTATTTAGGGCACCATCAGCTCTGCCAACGCTCTGCATATGAGAGCAGAGGGCGTGGCTCAAATGATGGCTGAGTCGCTTAGAATGGTCCAGAGCAGAGAGCGGTATGGACTCATTATTCAGGAATTAAGGCCAGGTATAGAGAGCGTGTCGGTTTTGTGCAGGGATCGACATAAAAATATCAGATTACTTTATGATAAAAAAGTGACTGTAAAAGATTATTTGGACTGTTCACCACTAGTTGTCGCTCAATGTGAATACAGTACAACAAATGCAGTCTGTGCACTTGCTCTGACTCATTTTCAGGTCACATATAGTGTAGTGAGTAGCACGCCTGCCTTTCACACAGAGAGCAGAGAGTCCTGGGTCCGATTCCCAGAGGAAACACATACGTGGCGCCTCCAAAAGGTTAGCCCAAGAATTTCAGTGTGGGATCAATGACATGATATAAAAGACATTTTTGGGGGTGACCTAAATCAGACATCCTTTGGTCTGACTGTTGGGACTGGTTCATATCGTGTTTCAAGTTTTTATTGAATAATTAATTAATTATCAATTGTTCTTTAGCAGTTGAATAATTAATTAATTATCAATTGTTACACATTACACAATTATCAATTGTTACACAAGCCATTTTGTGTGTGTCCTAACTGTGGGAATGGGGTTTTGAGAAAGCTATTTCCTTTTTTTTTTTTTTTTTTGCAGTGGTTATTGATCCTGCATCACAGCAGTAGCATCATCAAATCACTGGTCTTTTTATGTTGAGACAAACACGGGCTGCTAGTTGTTAATCCAGTCTTAATTTCTTGATTTCACATTGAGAAAAGTCTTCTTCTGAGTGACTTTTTCTTTTAATTTTCTAGTTCTTAGTGGAAGCTGAGCCGGAAGATCACATCTATTAAGATATCTCAACAATTGATCCTTTATCATTTCCTTGTTTACTCCTCTGACTCCTCTTTGTTTTCTAAAACCCACACGGTCCACCCTTTTATTTTCTTAATTTTCTTGCCATTCATTTCCTTTTTATGCTCATTCAGTGCATCTGCAGAATTTATCGCAATGATTAAAGAACAATATGTTATGGCAAGCTAACCTGTTGTTTGTGTTTTCACACACACAACACACACATACAGACTAGTCAAACCATTAGACTTACACTAAAATTAGTCAGGAAGCAGTGATTAGGTCTAATGGTACACATGGACGGGAGAGAAATATCTCACA